CAGTTTTCTTCCAACTGACACGCGCACGGATCTCCTCTGCGATTCTTCCTTCGTTGGTGGACCGCGAACGCGGTATCCACAGAGTGTGGGCGCTTTTGTGGCGACTCTTCGACACTGTCTTTGCTGACTACCCCTTGTGGCGAGGTTCGATAGATGCAATGACCCCATTTCTGTCATTCATGCTGTTTCTACCCGGCTTCGCAGCGAGCCTGATGCACCTCTGCTTCTCGTGCGAAGGCAAGCTGCAGCTTGAAAAGTCATCTGCCACCGCGATTGGACAACTACTCTCCTCCGCGGGATCCCTGGACGGCGCACATGAAAAGCGCCTTCTTGAGGAAGCAGCGGCTTCTGAGAACGGATCTTCTTTATTCAAGCGCTTCCAGCTCAAACTATCCCGGCTGCGACACAGAAGCCGTCTGCAAATCGCTTTCACAAAGCTTAGCGCCCTCATGGAAGAGTCCGAACAAGAACCGGGTGCGCAGCCCAACGGGGGGGGCGCGCCGCCAGATAATTCAGTTGCACGGACAAAGACGACGGAGGTGGAGGGACTCGTTGGTCTTTTCCCTACCCTTATTTCCGGCCTCGTGGGTTTGCTGGTCGTTCTTGCACGCTATCCAAATGAATACAGGTCGGACCTTGTAGCCAATCTTTGTGATGTGGTTCTGGCTTAATTGTAGAAAAAAAAAACAGACTCGCAACGCTTCTAATACAGGATAATGTAGTACGATCAGTAGTGAGCACATGCACCACACCGGACCGATGCATAACAGAGATTAGCACTGGCCGAGCTTTGCACTTCATATGCTGCAGTCCGCCAATAGCGGGGCTCCCTCAGTTTACGCGGAGTTTCGCACAGGACCCGTTTTTGCTGCCTTGAAGTTTGTGTGCGAAACGGAAGCACGTTTTGAGCCGCACGCACGCCTGCACGCGTTTGCCGTTTTTGAGCACGAAGCCGTCGGCGACCTCGTTGCCGAAACCAAGCTCCGAAAGTTACACGTAAGCATTCTGCGGGAGCAGGAAGCGAGGGTGAAAAAGGAAGCGGATGCGCAAAACTCCGAGAAAGGTTCCAGCACGAAATTTCCGGCGGCGGACGAAGAAGAAAACACGGACTTTCTGAAGACGCACTGGTCTTCTGTGTGGGAATTGCTAGCGAAAGGCTCAGCTGCAGCGCCGGCCTGCAATCAGCCCCCCCAGCAAAGTGCCCAAAGTGCTGGCACAGACGGCGTTCATGTCGGTGCGCAACGTCTTGCCAGCGACTTCCTGGTAATTCGTCTTGCTGATTCTGCTACACCAGGAGATCCCCAGGCCAGTTTCCGCGCGATTGCCGACCAGCTTTTGCGTCTGCGAGTACTTCTAGACGAAAAGGAGAACCTGACAACTTGGGAAGAAGAGGTGTTGGCCTCACTGCAGTTCCCGGAGGAGCTCGAGCACGCGGCACGCACGCTTCGGGCCCAAGCGGTGCAGGGTCTGCGGGTCCGGCATCACGCCAACATAGAGACGCTGAACGATATGGATTCCAGCGGTGCATTGGATGCACAAAGTTTGCAGGCACTGGCAGAGGACATGCCCGGGATCCAATTTGTTGTGTGGGAGGCGGATGGTGACCAGGTGCCGAGGAAGTGGCGCGTCGCCGAGGCGAAGCATTCCCCTTCGGTACCCGTTTCCCAGGACAAGAAACCTTTCCAGGTCTACCTGTTGCGCGAGCTGCCAGTCGGTGCGGAAAAAGTGGTGCACCACTCTGCAGTTCTGCTGCCGGAGGCCGAGCGGCGCGAAGAAATTGAAGGTCAGCAAGCACACTGTGGCCCGACGCGCACGTGGTGGATGTGGTATCTTGTGTATGATCACGAAACTTGTTAGCGTTTCCTTCCTCGACTTCGGACCTCGCTTTCATGGATCAGGATAAAACTGCATGCGTCACGGTTAAGTATGTGCTATATCTTTCTGAAGCAGTCGGACGAGCGCATCGGATCGCTCGGTCAGCAGAGTGCGCTGTCCGAGCCCCGGAGGCTCTGCGGCTATGTGTGTTTCGCCCTGCAGTTTGATGTAAGTACTTTTACACAGAATTATTCTTGGCAAATTTGCATATTGCATGCTTTGCTGGTAGCATATGCAGCGATATTTCCGCTGAGGTCAGATAACAGCACTTCCCTATGTATTTCAACTTCGGGAAGGTGACGCAAACAGTTTTCAGCGTTACACCCTGCAAAGAACGCTGAGTATGCGAATTGTGAGGGGTGTAAACAAACAGCCACCGATATGGAAGCGACGCCTTGTGCTTGTTGTGAATTTTTCAACGGACCTTCATGTATAAAGGCTTCATGCGCATCACACGATAGAGCCATTCGAAGACCTACTACACTCATGGTATCTAATATTTTGCAATAGGGATGACCACGAATCTGCTTTCAGGGAAGAGTTGCTTTCATGCGCCGGTGCAAAAACAAGACCCCTCTCATCGGTCCGGGGGATTGATGCCAGGCTCTGTTGTGGCCGCCCTTGGATGTGTACCTCTCTGAAATTACTCATCTATCACGTACAAAGGTTGTCGTTTGCATTACCGGATGCGTACCTGTCACAGCGGTTTCTGCCGCAAGTGGCGGCTCCTGCATCGCCGCAACAAGCTGCAAATAGCGCATCTAACGGGGCAGCGCCGGCTGCAAAACCAGCACCCAGCGATCCGGATCACATGCAGTACCTTTCCTTGGAGTACCAGTTTCGCTTCGTTTTTGGGTCCGTTTTCGCAAGAAACAAGCTTCCTGCAACCGAGCATGCAGTGGAGAAGTCCGGATTTCGGGAAATGAACGCGGCTTGGACAACTCTGATTGCCCATGTCTACGAGCGCATTTGCAGGGACCACGCAGCACAAAGCAGACGCCTACGCTGTGCCGTAGACCATCTGGAGGAGATCATCGAGCTGATCGGAAACTGGGCAAACGTGAGTGTAGCCGTGGAGTCAACGAGCCCGGCCCCGGCACCACACAAGAATGGGGCAGTTCCTCCCCCAGCCACGCCTTCTTCCTCTTCTAGCTCCTCAAGTGGAACCGCTAGTAGTTCGACATCCTCACCAAGCCCTGCGGCATCTGCAAGTTCAAATAACGTCGCAGTATCGAAATCCGCCACGGGGGCTGAACCTAGTACCGTAAAAACAGTTCCTGCAGTCCGCGACTTCAGCACGCTCGCGCAGGCATTCACGCTTCTGGACGTCTCCCCAGACCGGGGAGTCTTAGCAAACGCGAAACTCATTTTGCGGCGCTGGCACGAGGCCTCGCCACTGCCGGGACTGCAGCTGAACTGGCTCGCGGACCAGCTGCGTGTGCTTCGACCCGACAGTGCTACGCTTGGGCGGATGCACAGTGCCATATGTGATTGGAAGGACGCTCACGTGTCGACGACGCCCACCGAAAACCTCTTTTTCACCTTCGAAAACACTTCTAGCTTGGAGGATGTTCTTATGCAAACGGCAATTAAACCATTTTGCTCTATCTGCTCCCGTACTGTGTGTCTTTTTGCAAAATGAAATTCAGCCCTGTACAACTCGATTGCATGTCTTCATGGCTACTAGCATATCGACCACGATTTGATCTCCTTAGCATGATACAAGCAACGTGTCTGCCAAGCATATGTTCGATCGTTTATCAGAACACACAAAAGCAAAGCGCGAGAAGCACTAGTGGGGCAATTTGTTCTCTAAAGTTTCATAACATTCTCGAAGGCGGTGGCCTCGCCAAGCGGGCTAGCTGAGGCGGGTGATTTTTTTCAGCTTCTCTCCACACACGCAACCTTGCTGCACGGCACGACCTTCATCAAGACCATTGCAGCTTCTGCAGCGAGGCCTGACGGTCGAAATAGGACATGGATGAAGTGGGCGTGTCTTCGGGTGGCGGAGGAGGTCCTGCAAATCCGGCTCCGCGGTTGGAGGGCACTGAATGCTAATGAGGATATTGCCAAGAAAGCACAGGAGGATATCACCAATTTGGCTTCGGCGCTGCTTCGCGTTTGGCCACTCCAAGAGGTGCTGCTCGTTGTGGACCGATTCAAGACCGCGGCGGCCCCGCTGCTGACAGCGCAACGAACGCTACAGCTGCTTCTGGACTACCAGTTCTCCGTAGATTGGGACGTTCTTGATCACGATTTCAAAAGTCCTCACCAAGATGCACCAACACCGATAGCACTGCAGCAGGTCCGCAATGAGCACAAGACAGTCACGCAGTTTCTCCGCCAGAAGCCAAGCGACGTGTGGATCCGACAGCTGCACGAGCGCTTCGTCAAAGTCGCCTTTCCTGGGGGTGTAGAGCTCACGGCGCAGCAAGCCGCGGATAGCATCCAAGAGCAAGCCCTCCGGAATCCCACGAGTTCTGCAGCACCGCTGCTAACCAGCGCGTCCGAGCACCTGGTACGCCAACGACAGAAGGTCCTTGACGCGGACCAAACCGTCCTCCCCGGCCAGCGACTGCGGGGCTTCACCGGCTGGGCACCCTGGGCTGCGGAAGTTAAGCGGCGCTCCAGGGAGGACAGCAGCCAGGTAAACATTTACGAGGTTATCGCGGTAGTTTGCGAGGGTTTTGCGAAGACCAATGGAGGCAAAAGACCCCGCGCCACGCAGCTCTTCGCTATACTCGCACAGCTCGATGCGTTTGAGAAACTGAATCTGCAGCACGAAGAGGAAGACGCAACGATGGAGAGCGGGAATGCGGGAGCGGCGCCAGGACAAAGTAGCAACGCGCAGCAGCCCGTGGGACCAGCGAACGCGTCCTCGTCGGACACTGTCATGCAGACCGCACCAGCTTCTCCCACTGATCCGACCGACCAGGTGAAACGAGGTCGGATCGGGGATCCTGCCAGACTTCTCCCAGCCTTGCCGAGTTCATCTAGACAGCGCACAGGTAATGGAAATACCCTTTCAGGGACCAATATATAACGCGCGGAAACGCCGACGCGTGTCTGCTCGTGGCCCGCGGCCTGCCGGCCCAGCTCCCGGGCAAAGCCGTCCGGCTGCTGTTGGGCGGCTTGGTCAGGTACCAACCGGCGAGGGCAAAACTATGATTGTAGCAATTCTTGCAGCAATCCTGGCGCTCCGAAATCAGACGGTGGACATTATTACAGCGTCTGAGGAGCTAGCAAAGCCGGCTGCCGAGGAAATGAAAGAGTTTTTCGGTCTATTTGGTTTTTCGGCGCCTGCTATTGGTGAAAACACAAGCTGGGGGAGCCGCATTGTCTATGGAGACGCCGCCCAGTTTCAGTTTGCGGACCTTCGCTACCGCTTTGCAGAAGAGCATCAGGAAGGCGGAGGTCGAGGTGCCGAGATGCGTCCGTACCAAGTGGCCATCATAGACGAGAGCGATTCGCTAATGGTGGACGGCAAGGGGTCGCAGGCTCTCATAGGCAGCTCTGCACCGGGGGCGCACTACCTACAAAATTTCATCACAGTTGCCTGGGGCATAATGCTCAACGCCAAAAAGAACTTACACATATGCAAGGTAACAAAACGAGCGATATTGTGTGGACATCAGTGGATATTTATCCGTGCGCACCACAACCACAGTTTCAATTTAATCGAGTCCCGCAGCACGCGAGGATTTGAGAGAACCTGTCATGATAGATATATCATTCATTCCTATTGATTTGTCGTGTTTTTTCCACGTAATGCATGTTACGTCACTCAATTTCCGCACTCCGCGAAAACGACTTCTTCTGCCCTTTGCCCATTTGCAATTTCTTGCTGCTGTCATTTGCTCCGCATGTCTGCATGGGGGAAAAAATCATCGAGGATGCCAACTCGCAAAAAGTTGGTTGTGGGCGAGGATGCCACGATATCAGTAGGAGTTTTTTCCGCTGCACAGACGCAGTTCGACGTTCCTGGGTACGGAACATTAACTTTTGAGCTTCACCCGCAGTTCCCGCCTTGCGGGAACGATTGGATGGCATTCAAGAAGGAATGGAAGAAAGTAGTCAAGGCCAGCCAAGGCTCTAGCTCTCCGGCACCGGCAGGCTCGCCCGGAAGCTCTTCGACTAGTGGCGCAGGCCCGGAGAGTGACGTTGACCCAGACGACGTCGTGTTACAGCAAATCACTCCCATCGAGCATCTGGGCCTAGATCCGACAGACACCAGTAAAAAGCCTCTGTACAAAGATTGGACAAATTACCTGAGCCAGAAAATTGAAGCCATGTTGCGGCAGGGCGTCCGCGACTTTGAATACCACGAGAACAGCTTACTGCCTGGCAAAAAGCTACCTGATGAAATGAGAAAGGAAGCTGAAGTACCAGACAGAAAAGTGTCTCCATAGCTTTAAAACAAAATAAGTACTTTTTTCTTTCGCAAAGTGCTCGTCTATCTCCCATTTCTATTCACGGCGATAGGAGAAGTTTGGTCCTGACACGGGAGCGAACTCAATCGCACAAGCAGGTCCATGAGGATGAGCTACCAGCCATGTATGTCTATATAAAAATCCAGATGCAGATGAAGATATATAGCAAAGTCACTGTACTACCTGTGTATGTGCGAAAGCTGCACAGCAACGCTGTAGTTCTTTGCTTGCATTGCATACAAGATTTGCAACGCACTGTTTCTTTGAACAGCAGCAGCAGGGTCATATTTTGTGTTTTCTGCAGTGCGGACACTTTTCGCCTCCCTATGCAGACGCGGACGATCCCGGAAAGCCAGACGCTAAGCCAGTTCCACGGATTCATCACATGAGGCACCATCGAGACTACATCATTCGCGCAGGAATCGTTCAGTGGGCATTAGCGTCGGTGGATGCCATGTACCGTTTGGAACCGGAGGAGCATTACAGGTTGAAGAACGGACCGGGAGAGATCAAGCTCGAGTTGATTGACAGTACGAACACAGGGTGTATCTCAGACACCTCACAGTACACCGGCGGTCTCGCCCAGTTCTTGCAACTTAAGCACGGCCTGACGATCACCTCAAATGGATTCACGACGAATTACGTGTCCAATGCTGGATTTTTCAAAAAGTACGAGAAGATCTTCGGCCTCACGGGGACGCTTGGCGATGCAGAGACGAGTGACTTTCTGGGCGACACCTACAAGTTGGACTTTTTCTTTGTGCCAGGCTTCAAGTCAAAGCAGTTTCACATGCTCCGCGGAATTTTCCATACCACAGAAAAGGCGTGGACGGAAGCCGTTCTGCAGCAGACTTTGGTGCAGGCAAAACTAGGGCGCGCCGTCCTGGTGATTTGCAAATCCTTAAAAGTTGCTAAGAAGTTTCATAACCAGTTTACAAAGAAGATTGACGAACCGAATCCCCAAGACGTACTCACCGCAACCGACGCTGCGCTGCAGCTGTCCCTCTACACGGAACAATCCGAACGAGCAGCGGCGGCAGGGTCTGGCGACCAGAAACGAAAACTCGAGCCCGGCACCATTATTGTGGCAACCAACATCGCAGGTCGCGGCACGGATATCAACCTCACCGACGAGGTCGAGAAGAACGGAGGCTTGCACGTCATCATCACCTTCCGCCCCCTGAACGACCGGGTCCAACAACAAAATGTTGGTCGCACCTCCCGCACGGGAAACAGAGGCACAGCGCAGTTGATACTTAGCGGAGGAGGGTTGCCTGGTGCGGACATTCCTGGGCGCCATGATCGGTTGGGCCCGGATGGGGGGATGAGCTACATTTCTGACAAGCGAGATATCGGCCAACGACGCGTTATCCGCGACGGCCCGAAACAAATTAGCGTAATCCTACAGCGCGACCGAATGTTTGACCGCTGGATGCAATTTCTGGACGAGCTTGAGGTACATTGTGGAAAAGCAGTATGTGAGCATATTCGTCCTCCAAAGTCCAGTGAGAGCACGAGCGCCAGACTTCGCTACGACCGTGGAATTAGAACAAGTCACTTCATGATGTATGTATCATTTACTAGAAGCACAAATGAACGGATACAACTCATGTAAAGTAGCGAATATCAGCATTTCGATGACATGTTTATATTGAATCGCAGAATTTATTTTCAAAAAGCGATTTTCCTGTTGGAGCAGTTTTTGGATGAACAAGACACGTGGGCGAGCGAATGATTGCCGAATGAACCTGGCACGTTTCATTCTAGTGATCGGACTACAGAAAATCAACAAACTGCTTTTCCTTTCCATACCCGCTTAGGAAGCGCCATGTTCAGGTATGTCCGAAGACGGGACCGAAGGGCGACGAGTGGAAATCGCCGGACCGGCTTGGTGTGGAGGAGCAGTTCGGAATGTGGATGGCCACCAACAGTGCGGAATTTCAAAAACGAGCGGCCCCCGACTACGTCGGCGACGATGCTTTGCAGTTCTTCGAAACCGATTTCGTTTCCAGAGTCCTGGCGTCCCGGGACGACCCGCGTACCCCTAGAAACACGTACCCCCTCGCGCCCAACCCCTACTTTCTGTTAGCAGAAGCAAACAAGGCGATCACGGACCGCAAGTTCGACCGCGCATTAGAGCTGCTCGGCGTGGCTTGCGATCGGGACGAAGAGTGCGCAGCCAACTGCAGCGGCGGCATGTGCGCGCAGGCCTGGTACAGTCGTGGGATCGCGCATCTGGGACGGTATGGGAAGGACGAGACTGAGCACGACTCCGCGTGCGAAAAGGTCTTTCCGAAAGCGATCAGAATCATTACCGAAAAATGTGCTCAAGATTTGCAAGTGTCGCTCATGGAGGTCATCAGAGGAAAAAACGTCGACTGCACAAAGGGGAAGCTCGCACAAGAATACAATCATCATTATCCGAGAAAGAACCCGTGTCTGGTGTAGTTGGTCTTTGTGTGAGACCAGCAGCGGCGCAACATCGCTCGGCATGACAAGACAATGCGTCCGCATGTAGATCTCCTGTGTCCGAAGCTGCTTGCGGCGACGGCGCAAAAGCTTTGATTCCCTCAGTTACAGGTGGGTATGCATCATGACAATGCCATGGAATGTCACTCGGGGTACACTTTTTCACAAACGGGAAGACGCTCTCACGCCCTCGCAACTTTGGCCTCGGCATTTTCATTTATATCTGTACACTCCGTCATTTTTTGGCATGAAATCTGATGAATGTCAATTTGTTTCATTCTGTTCCGCGACGCTGCTAGTTCATCACACGGTCGTTTTTTTGTAGGATACACATATCAGTATCTATCATGGCATGGCGGCCCAAATTCGGAATGTGATGGGAGACCCCAATGCCGACTTTGACAAGAGACAGGCAGGGCTGGGCGAAGCTTTGGCCGAAGTCACCGAGAGGCTGCGAGAGGTCGAAAAAGAAATTCGCGAGGCAGAAGACATATCTGTGGACCAGCGAAAAGAGTTTGGAAAGCGCCTCGGGCAGGAAAGCGTAACTTTGAGCGACGACAAGACGCAAGAGTATCCCCATCTGTGCAATGTACCGCCAGACGAGCTGATGTGGGCCTTGGACTTGGAAACCAAGAAGGAAACGCGTGAGAACCTGCAAAAGCAGAAAGAAGACGTCGAAGGAAAACTGGAAGATCTGAAGAAGGACCGGGAGGACACCGAGAACGACAGTCAGAAGAAAACCCAATATGAAAAACGAACGCTTGGACTGCTTGAGTGGGCCCGTCGGAACAACCACGAGCTGTCACTGGGATCAATCGCGTCGCCTAAATTGGGGTTCGACAGACTTGTGGGTCCCTGTGAACTACGAAGACGAAAAATACAGATGTGCTTTTTCCTCCACCCAAATGCCCAATCTTGTGATGTTTTGTCATGTATTAAAAACACGAAAGTAGTTCAGGCGCAGCTGTGTGGCGCATCGGAAACCATCGGAAACAGTTCCGTTCATCAAAACGAAGAGGAGGCTAGCTGTTTTTCATTCAAAGCAAAGTACTCACAGCACTGCCTGCATCAAACCGCGACGCGATATATTCTTCCATTGATTTTCCTTGCTTCAAGGTTTTCTATTCGTCGCAAGAGACCGAACGAGAATCACCTCTCCTGTTCTCACAGCAAGCGCTTTCCTGGAAAGTTGTGTCCCGGCGAAACTTGATTGAGTGCCTTTTTCAGGGAAAAACCTTTCACGTTTATAACCCGACGAAAAGCATTTTAACATGGGCATAATTTCCCCATCTCATACTCGTCAACGCGGAAAGTTTTGATGCTGATGCTTATCTGTAGCCACAAATAGTACTTACTTAAACTGTGCCGGTGAAAAGCTAAGTAAGTAAAGTCAGCTGTGATTAGTGAGAAAGCGGGAGAACAGGGAGCATTATACTGGCATTCTGTATACGCGTTTCAGCCTACAGCAGATAAGCACCTCTGAGACGCGTAACAGGTGAAGAAGCTGCTACACGTCGACCGACAGACTCAATAAATAGCACCGGTGAAAAAAAGCCTGCGACCCCTTGCCGCAAGACAGAGATGATTTTTGCACACGCAACAGCAGCACGTAGCATTCCCGTTGAAGTATGAGGAGGGGGGAGGTTTCATTGGGATACATGGGCAGCACGAATTGCGACTGCACGAGGAATGGGGACTGATTGGCGTATTTCAGCTTGACACCAAGCCCCCGATAAACTGGTGGGACTTTGCTGGTATGACGACGATCGCGGTCTCCCAAATGGTGGGCGGCACCGTTTTGGCAATTTTCGGGGGCTGCAACCTGGCCACGAGTCTGATATGCGAAGGCATCGCTGATATGATCACAGCCGTCAGGGACATTGTGATCAATCGATCGTTTTCCTGGGCGCAATGGGGGATCAACAAAGCGGTGTCGATCAGCGTCAGCTTGCTTACTGCCGGGGCCTCCGCGCTCAACACCGCAGCCCAGGTCGCCGCCGCTGGCCTGCAAGGAGCCTTGGAGTTCACGAAGGAGGCCTTGGTACTCGGCGCAAAACTCGTAGCGAAGGCCGGCATCCTATCCTGTGTAAAAACGTCCCCACCATATACTCAAGATGGATAAGTAACTACTAGACAATTCCGCGAGGGTCGGAACTCGCGCATGAAAACTGGAGTTGCGCCTCGTAGTAATCGTGGTAAATTAAAATTTCCAAACACAGCTAGAAAATGACTATCATCGGAAGCTGCATGAAGCAAATTGTGGGAGTGGGACTGGGAGTGTAGATTTGCATGACGAGGATCGGCTCTGCGGCAGCTGGCACAGGGGGAGGAAAAGTGTTTTGCAGTAGCATGGCGTGGGGACGGTTTTACACAGGATACGTCCAAGCGGCAGTGAAGGAGGCCTTTACGCACGTAGCGGCAGTGATGGTTGCCGAGGGCGCTGGCCCGATCGTGAAAAGGATAATCAACGAGCATTTAAAGCCGGACGTGTACAGAACTCTTACAAGCTCGCCCGCAGTGGGCGAGTTGATGAAAGTGGATGGCGCGGCTGGAAACCGCTTTTACCGCCAGAAGCTGACTCAAGCTGTCGAATCCCTTCTCTCCCCGGAGATCGACCCGGAGCAACAGCTGACTACGATGGCGGGCGACAGCATCGGGAATCGCGAGCTGGCCAACGGAATCAAAACTTACATCGGAAACGTTGCAAAGGCACTTCGTATCTTCACATGAAAACCTGCTCTCATTACAAGTTTTTCTCTGTCTGCAAAAGGAGAGGAAGAGTGACCGCGCTGTGATGCTTTTGTACGGTTTTTCTAGATCATGAGAAGCATAAGTGTGACGCAGCGCACCGGCGTTTTTTTGTCTTCTCTCCTGCCAGCAAGTATCGGTCTTCTCAGAGTCTTCTGACAATCACTGCAACGAGCGGAAATACGGCTCTGCGCCGCCCATGAGAAACCGATTCCTGTGAGAGAAAGTTTTTTCATTCCATAGACCTTCCAGGTCCGTTGGAGGTGGCCGTCCAGCTTTTGGAAATCAGCAAGGTAGCAGCGCAGATAACTGGAATTGTCCACCAACTTGGGCCAGCACTGCAGAGGGCTGCTAACACCATGCAAACCGAACACAGGAAGATTTTCAACTACATCAAAAACCACTACGACGCTGTGTATACGACTATGCTTCTTGTTGCTTCGTTGAGACGCTGGTCCATAGGTAGTCATGCCCCAATACGTATCATCTAGATGAGTCAGAAAATTTTTGCAACATCAAACTTAATATATTGAAGGCCAGGCATGTATTTGTAATGACCACAAACTTCTTTCAATGGCTCCTCACTTCTCAGGATTACCTGGTTCGGGGGGAAGCGTCAGGATGAGAACCAGGAAGAGTACGAGCAGCGACTTTCGAACAAGTTGCAGGAGAACATTGAAACTCAGAAAAAGTGGCCGAAGTGGTCTGCGACCCCTCTGTGGGTCCGAGAAGTGGACGGCGAAACGGTTGATACCTACATAAGGCTGCAGTTGGAAAAGGTACGGTCTGCAGCGGTGCCGCCGAGCAAGCAGCAGGCACATAGCAGCAGTTCGTCCTCTGGGGACGCAAATGGCAGTTCCCGCGGTAGTGGTGCTAACTTCAACGCGACCCATGGACAGCAGGCGCAAGTCCAAACTTCCGAGGTTACTGTCGAAAAAACGGCCGAGGAGATTTCGCAGCGAGCTTCGGGAGTAATGACGGATATGATCCAGAACGGAGCGATCATGCCCGCGGTTCAATTTGGCATCGGGAGATTGAGCAACAAAATGTGGCAGTCGTGGGACGACAAGGTCGATAATGAACTCCGGATCTTTCAAGCGAAGACGCAGCAGGCGATGGCGTTCAGCGGCAAGCCAGCGGCCCGGGCGCTCGCCGCCACGGTGCGCAATGCGGAGCACGCCGCGATACTGGCGAAATTTTCACCGAAGGAGCAGGCCAAGATGCGGAAAATGCTGCTGCAGCAGGACCTGGACTCGGCGATGGATGCCGCGGGAGCCCTGGACCGCGGGGAGCCGGCGAGCCTCCACCACATCGGTGCGCTCACTGAAACGCTGCAACAGCCCGTGGTGCTGCGCGACGAGAACCAGAATGTGCTCACCACCATCGGCAAGGGCCTTCCCGGTGCCCCGTGCAACGTCACATTTTATAAGGGCAAGGACGGTAAACCCGGGCACTACGTGGCAACGAATGCAGCCGTAGGGGACGGGTACACTTCCCCCGGAAAGCCCACCGGCAAGAATGCTTGCTTGTTCAACGCAGTAGCGGCGCAAGTGTACGGGGATCAGGGCAAGGGCGCACCACTGCGGGCCAAAACGGCTGCCCACATTCGGAATAACCCCCAGCAGCTGATGACAATTGCCAGCTCGATTCGCCGACACAACTTTTATAAGGGCGGCGCGCCATCACTGATTCCAGATCCAGGGGGTGAACCTTTTTGGCACCCAAATCAAGATATGCTGAATGCGGTCGCAGACCACATTCAAGCTCAAGGCGAGCCACGTCCAGATCCGGCACATCTGGATATGCACTGGAATCTACAGCCGCACTGGGATCCGCACTTTACACTGCGTGTAGGCGATCAGCGATTCGTGTATGGTGTTCCTCGGAATTCCCCGGCTGGTACCCTTCCACAGGTTCGCAATAAGCCGGAGACACCAATTGCGAAAGCAGCTAATCAAGCTTGGAACGCTTATGCGCTTGCAGCGAAAGCAAACACGTTTGTCTCAGTGGCACAAAAAGCGGCTCCGCCTCCAAAAATAAGTTTTAAGGCCGCGCAAGCTGGACTTCAGTTTCTTGCAAAGACATCTTTTCCTGTGGCGAAGAATGCTATAGCTTTGACGCATGGGCAACCAAAGGCCGACCAGTTTGCGAAGTATGGGGACCTTATGATGCCAGGAGATCGAGATACCGCGGACTTTGTGCGTAATACGTTTTCCCGTACTCCCAAAAACGGCGGAAACATCCATGCGGCTCGTGCGCAATTCAACGAAGAGCATCATCGTCCGATACCTCCACCGAACTTCATCAATAATTTTTCAGATGACCCCCCTTTGGGAGCAGGACCACCGCCGAAGCCGAAGGCCCCTGCCTGGGGCGTCGCAAAGGCGAAGGGAGCACAGCCGGCTTTTGTGGCAAAGGCAAAGGGAGCACAACCTGCCTGGCCAGCTCAACCTTAAGGTCTAGCGAGTCGTCGCGGACATTGTATTACAGTGCCTTCTCGCGGGATGTCTGTCATTGCGCTCCAACTTGAATCATTGCAGCAAAGCAAGGGGGTAATGTGTGCGCGATCACACGGGCATCTTGATCTTCCGTTCCTTTTATATGAATAATGGTGCTGTTGAAGTAGCCACTTCTTTTCGTGACAACGTCTATAGCGTAACGTCTGTCCTGTTATCAGCGTAGTCCCCACGTCCCAGCACCGCGGCCGACGCAGCAAGGGTTTATGGGGTTTAAGGGTTCTGGTTTGAGGTTCCTAATTTGATCTTATCATAGCCTATATTGCGAAAGATGGCGCTATAAAGGTTTCGTGCGATGGAGACGCGCAGCAGATTCAGCAAGTAAACCAAAAAGAAATATCAGAGAACTTTATTTCTCACGCGTCGAATTACTCGTTTTTTATGTATGATTTAGCCATTCACATGAACTTTCGCAGCTCTATGTAACTGCAGCAGGGGAGATGATAAGAGGCACTAAAACTAAATACGCCATGAAAGTTGTATTGCAACATGTAAAAAGTGCAGTCAACATAAAGCTCACAGGTCATTACTTAGTTCATTTTCAGAAAAATCGATCGGCTATACTCCCGTTCGCTCTTTGAGATATGCAATACTATCAAAAAGCAAAAGATACACACTGTCAATTCCTCCTTCTTCACATGATTATTCATTTTTGTTGTCATCAACACCAACAGTATGAATAGGCGAATGTATTGTGATCATCGGAGGCTGATATTGTAGCACTATTTCTGGCCATTCATATTCATCGCATTGTTTCATTTACGTGGAAAATACAAGTCGTGGAAAATAAATATAAACGCAATAGATGGCTGGTTCGAAGCGACGGCGTGATGTATGATTTTTCTTCTACCGGGGTGACATTATTCGTTTCGGTACTATTCATTTATCGTCTGTTGTTGTAAACACCATTTGGTACTTGTAGAATTCAAAAAACTACAGCCCAGAATCAAGGATACCAGTGAGCGCCCCCAACAAGCGACACTCGAATTTCGATTTCCGAGCAAAGTATTGATTCCAATATTTGCCTCGGGTTGTTCCGCTTCACATGAGAACCCAGATCCCAAGGACACACTCAAATTCATCCAAACGTCGATGAAATGTGGAAGCTCAAGAAGATCCTCGCAAATCGATTTTCCTTGATTTTCTTGAAAATCCATGCAGGCATCACAGCTGTTTATTCCTGTTCCAACGCATGCTCCTTCCCGTTCGCAGATGCGAGGTATCAAATCGAATGCTAGATCATATCCATGTGGTCTATTGTGGATCAATAAGATTGGTAAATATTAGAAAATCCGACCCATCGGGCGTTTCACCCATTCACAGATGTACAAGCACCGCGCCAGTCAGTAAAATCCCTCTTAGCTTCGTATGTTGACATTGATTCCTTTAGTTGTATCATTTTAGTGTTCGTTCCTTTGACGGTATTTTTCATTGACTCGACTACATCGAAATAAATTACTGAAACAAAGGGCCAACCAGGCCAAAATAATTAAACCAAAGCTGACGAGTACATGAGGTGGTTCTCCAAACGCGACAAAAGTTCCAACGAGAATAAACTTTACATGATAACAATGGCACACTTTCTCGCTCCGAGCTCGCATGGCACAGAGTATCGCAGATGCCAAGAGGTTCCAGTGGCGCAGTTGTCCACTCTGACCCTAACTGATCTGGGAGGGAACAGTTTATGTCGCATTGACCTGCCTTTAAACCAAGACTGCATTCTCTTTCGGACTGTGAAGCGTCACCTCGCGGCTGCCCGCGGCCAAGACCCTTCCTTCCTGTTGGGCCAAGGAGTTGTTTTGGAGCGGAAGACTTTTCTAGCAGTCGTTAACGCGAACAAAAGTGTCTTTCCAGTAGCATCATCCTCTTCTCCGCTCGAACAGCCGACGACGGAGGGCGAAGCTCGTGTTGAGCCAGGTCTCACATCGCCAAAAAGACAAGACGCTTTTTCAGACGAAGTTGCAGATGCCGGACCGCATACAATCAGTCATGTTGCAGCTTCCGTTGATAAATCCGCATGCACAGCAACGGAGGCCCGCTCAGAGCCGGAGGACGAGGAAAAGTGTATTGTCCGGGACGGACGGTTTCCTATCCCTCTCTGGACCACTGACGGGGCGCGTGTTCGTGAGATCCAGGTAGTCTTTGATAATCGAGTGGAAAAGGCTTTTTCATTCGCCAGAGGATGCCTTCAGATGAATTCCGCAGATGGACAGCAACAGTTTTTACACGATTCCGAACTGGAGTCCTCGTGTCCGAGTGTGACTGATCTCACAGTTGTTGTCCACTCAGCTGTACTGGAGGGTCCGTGGGATGACCGTGATCTGCCGTCTGATATAGACATGATGCATTTTCCTCGCGGATGTTGCTGCAACCTCGGAGATCCGAGTATAGAGGGAGGGACTTTGTGCCTTCATAAAATATTGCAGGACTTGTATCCGCCGGGTTTCGACACCACATTTGGGACGTGCGACTTCGAATTCCGTGAAGCTTTGGTGAAAGAGGCGGTAGAAGCATCCGTGCGTTGGGACCCTTACACAAATCCGCAGCTGATTCAGATGGGAAGCACGGCAGCACTTTTCCGTTCGAGCAAGGATCTCTGCATGCTTGCCTGCGAAATCAACGGCCTCGCACTGCGATACGCAACGCCACAACTACGGAACGACGCAGACCTTGTCCGAGTTGCTGTTGCAGCGGATTGGCGGTCCTTGCGATTTGCTACTGGGCACATCAGGTCCTCCCTGACCTACGAAGATATTGCGCTCTGTGCCATACGGCAAAACGGATGGGCATACAAGTACCTTCGTGGCGAACTTCGCCATTGCCATGCGCTCATCAAGTTGGCAGTCGGACACAAGCCGTGGTGCCTGCGCTACGTGCCGGTGGAGCATCACGCGTCAATCGACTTAATTACATCTGCTGCAGAGATAGACGGTGTCCCGGCTCTCAAATTCTGTGCACGTCATCTTCAAACCGAAGAACTGGTGAAAGCCGCAGTCGTGTCAAACGGGCTTGCGCTGAAGTACTGCGCACCAGAACTATCCAGCGGACTCGTAGTTGAGCTAGCGTTACAGCAAAACCCTTACGCGCTCCGCTTCGTCAATGATATCAATCTACGCAGCGAGGCGGAGCTGCTGCTGAAACTTCTCGACGGGCCGAGTCCGATGTTGCGGACCAACTGGCATCATTGTACAGACCATCCTGAGTCGGTGCTTCAGTTAGGAGACGTGCAGGGCCGACACGATGAATCAAAAGCAAAACAAGGGCACACAAAACCGACACTGTTCAGCTCTCCCCAGCACCCCGGCGACTGCCAAAACGCGGTGGATCGCGGTACGGAGGTAGGCTGTGCCCGTTTCCGCAATTGTCTTCAGGGATCACATTCTGCAGCCAGTCGACGTGGAAGCAGCTGTGGCCTTGTTCTTCCGCGCCCGCGGACGCACCCATGTAGATGTTCCACGTGTCAACTAAGCCGTATGAAACTCGAGCGCACTCCAGCCAGGTCGAAATGTGGTGCCGCTCGCAATGATGAGACATTCCGTCGGTATGCTTGCCTATTGCAGCGCTACATCCAAGTATCTGACTTTTGCGGCGACGGGGAGCACATCTGCAACGCGGTGTGCCGACAGGAAAGCCACCGTTACCCCACTACCGACATCCTCAATGGATACAGCGACGCCCTCTTGCACTACTTCGAGAATCTGCAGGAGGAGGACTTCGACTCGGTTCCAGAGGATTTCCCCACTCTGATTCTGCAAAATCTCCCTGCAGAGCATGCTGTTCGAGATCACGCGGAAATCATCCGTCGGTGTGTCCGCCTTGACGGCCTTTCGCTTGAGCACGCAAGTCCGCGACTTCGATCCGACCGCGGTCTCGTAAAAGAAGCGGCAGCTCAAAATCACGACTCGTTTCTTTTTGCCGGAGACGAACTCCGTCGGGATCCGGAATTCGTTGTGGAGCTCATGGAACACGGATGCGCTGAAATTTTTTGGAATGCCGATAAGGAATCCGTACAAGACTTGTTGCTCTGGGGAAACGGTGCGCCAGAGGTCTCTTTGCGGGCTTTTTGCGCGTGGCCTTGTCTATTAGAATTTGCGAAGCCGGAGTTCAAGCAAGTCAGCTTTCTTGTCCAGTCGGTTTTGGCAATCGACGGCGAAGCGCTGGAGTTCGTGGACATTGCTTTTCGGCGCACGAAGCACTTCGTCCACACGGCCATGAGAGCAGGAGGCTTCTTGGTTCATGCCGACAAGGCATTCCACGACGATGACCATTACGAAAATTTTGTTGATGTTGTCCTGTCATTGCATGCACTCTAATTCTTCTTGGGTCATTACATCATTATATCAAGCTTTGCATCTGAGGCTAATAAGTAAACAGGTACAGGAAAAATTCAGGTAAAAACCAGGGAGCCTGTCGACGCTATTGAGAGACGTGTCTATATGCATTTGCAACGCAACTGCGCACCTGCAATTGTGTACTTATTTTCCTCACAGTTGAGGTGGTATAGTGCTTGTTTTCTCCAACCAGGATGCAAAGACAGAGTTTTTTTTTTGGATGAGAAACTGATACGGGAGCAAATAATTTCCAATGCAGCGAAATTCAATGACGTACCGCGAGACGGCAAGTTGATGCTTACGACTCGCCTTCAGCCCTACTGGGAACGGTTGATGAGCAGGAGCACGAGCAAGATCTGCAGAGACGCAATCCTGTTGGAAGCTGCCGTGCGCCTCGGCATCGCAGCCTTGGAAAACATTCCCCTCGATCTTTCCCACGATCTATTCCCGGGAATCGTTCATAATCTATGCAAACAAATACGGCTCACAAGGGGTCTTCAACACGGCTATACCGTGGCAAAGCAACTCACCGACATTCCGCCCGCGATGCAGGACGATCCCTTGGTCCAATGCGAGTTTTACGTTGAAGCGGTGGCACGTCGGGGTCGAAACCTCGACCGAGAAACGATCCTGATTGGACTGGTCACGACGCAAGCATTTTGTCAGTCATTCTTTGTCTACATGGAGCTCGAGGATGAAGACTCCATGTTCTACTCGTCGAAGGAAGCTGCTGAAGAGTACGCGCTTCTCACACTCTCGCAGGCTCCGTGGGGTGCAGAAGTTTACTTTTTGTTTCCCCGTGCCGTTCGTGAGTGCGCCACAATTCAAGATGCTTTTTTCACTCTGTGTGGCGAGCCGCTGGAAATCGGAAACTTGGTGGGGTTCGCTTTGATGCATTGCACTGAGCTTGCAAGAAACCGGTGTACGAAATCAAACGGAGCGTGGTCTACGTATGAGCGAAGCCGTAAAAGTGCCGTTCCAGAAGTCACGTGGAACGCAGGTGGGCTTCGCAGCCCAACAGAGCAATATCTCAGATTACGCCTGCCCTCGTGCCACAAGAGCCCTGAGAAAAGTGCGCTTCTTAGCACGGCGGATGCGCGTAGAAACAGATTGGCTGCGCCACCATTTCCCTAACCTCAGTCTTTTTCAGACCTATGTGGAATCAAGACAAACTGGCAGGCGAAGAAAAGTAGTTCACAGCAAGGCGATTTCCGTATCCTAGATGAAATTTCGTTATTGAAAATAGGATGCGTATTATAGCGTTTTCCTGAGACCTAGACCTTTTCTTGCGCAATACCAGTCTGCACTCACAGCTCCTTTCGATTTCGCCAAACGGCAAAATCAGTTGGCGTTTCAGCAAGTGCACGTGCAGGGTACGTATGTATGATAGGCGGACGTAGATAGTTTTTCTTTTTTCACTACTCAAACCGACACCTGACACTGACTCGTAGCGTCGCTCCTGTATGATGATCATAGTGTAAAACGCAATAAAGAAGCAAGGCGGAGCCAGCTAACTACGCAGGTGAATGTGGATGATTTCAACATAACCACAAAATAGACTTTATTTTTCTAGCGGAGAAGATCGGCGCTCAGCTGCTCTCGGGCTGGAGGAGGGAGTGGTGCGCAGCAGTCCGCCAAAGGGCACACTGCCAACATCATCAGCATCGTCTCACTCTTGCTTTAACTACAGGGGCTTCGTCTAACCGGGCTGAACAGCGGTGCCTGCCATTTTTCCACCACGTTCGTCATAGGGCTACACACTCACGAACACGATGGTGTTCTATCACTAATATGATTATGAGGCGCCTTCCTTACAGCTTTCTTCGGTGACTTGGTGCGACTGTGGCTTTGTATCTAGAGAATCTGTGAAGTACCGGTGGCGCTGCGTTTCATTGACGTGGTTGCAACAGAGGCAAGGACCTTCAATTCTTGCGATGATCCCGATCATGTCAATTAGGTGAGATTGATTTGTTCACTCAAGATCATAACGCTCTCAGACGCCATCTTATATATTTTCATATCAACTGACAATAGCCGCTTCATCATCCCTGCATGAATGGCACTAAGTTATTTCTTTCGCAGGAAGTCGTGTGGTCATCCTGTAGCTTGCTAGAAGTGCGCTTCTTGTTTCATGTTGCACAACTTGTAAATGAAAAGACTTGACTTCGACCACGAGCGTGCTTTCTCTGATCGCAAGTGGTCCCACGATAAATGATCTACTTCAGATGGTTTTCGTTGTTGAGCTCTCTATGGATTTGCGTTGTTGTAGATCCGAATATCTTGAAGAATCGCAGTTGTGGATCGAGATTTAGCAATTCTTGTTCCAGTCGGTCAAGTCCAAACATCACCTCGTACCTTGACTGCGACACATTCATTTTGTTTTCCTGCTTACGACAACTCCTGTCCTGTCCTACGACAACTGTCTGTAGTTTCTGCCCCGCTCGAACTAATCATCATTGTCTGTAGCTTCCATAGTGCACGTGCGTCTGCAAGATCTCTACCTACACGACAGTGACAGAGACTAAGCTCTTGATCGGTGGAAAATGCAGACTCCATCAAGTTTATAGCTTCGCACCTGGTGCACGATGAATAAATTTGTTTCCATTTTAAGTCGGACGACAAATCAGTCCAATAGCATAAATACAAAAAATAGAAACGGAGCAAGCATCGTTTTGTTTGTGCTCCATGTTTGCACTTGCACCTTGTGGCCTGGGGCTTAATCTCAGAGATGTGATTGGTGTAGGAAGTTGCAGCATATCGTAAAATGCAAAAACTTGATCCCCGTCCTCTAAATTTTGCCGAGAGAGACCGAGCAGATAGAAATAATGATCTTTGACACCGGCTCGACACGTAGACGTATTCATCTTTTTGCGATAGCTAGGACAATGGTCGCCGATACGTTGAACTCAAATCCAAGGCAAAGACATGGTGATCAAAAGACGATCCCGAAAGCGTTTCAGCGACCTCGGTATCGTATCTCCACTTCGAAATCGTTTTGCGCCCGCATTCATATTAATTGCCTTAGAAGAAGTTGGACTATCTACTTTTAGATTTCGTTTATCCCAACTACATTCCTCGACTTCCACATAATTTCTATTTTGCGTTGTGTACACTCCTCCCACACAGAAAATTGGTATGTTTTTATGCTCCTCGGAATATTTATAGAATGATCCAATTCGTCAATCATTCGGTGGAGCCACCTGTGTCCTCATACCAACACACTTCAAGCGGTTCACATGATGTGTGTCTGGTTGAAAACAAACCGCAACCCCACGAGGTATTGACAATTTTTGATCTTGGTGGAAATAGATTGAGCCAGATATCCTTGGCGCCACAGCAGGCTGAATTGCTTTTTAGGGACATCAAAACCCATCTCCTCACTTCTCTCGGTCAAATAGAGAGCTTACTTGGCATAGGAGCCGTGTTTAGCAAGGCGCTCGTCGAGAGAGTATGCACTTCGCGTTGCGGAATCACCAAGACAGAAAAAATCCAAGCTCCAGCAAGCGAGGATAGAGGTCTACATCTTCTTGTCGCAGACGGGCCAGGCGAGCTTGACGGAAAGATCGCCGGATCTAGAGTCCAACAAATGCCGGATGACTCGGCAGCGGAATGTGAGGAAAGTGCATGCGGGTGTCCGTCTTCGGGCTTCGGCTCTTCCAGCAACAACGCAATGGCGAACGGGACGCGCGCGGAGAGCAACTGCATTGTCTGGGATGGACGCTTCCCTATTCCAGTACGAGGAGATGTGAATGGGGTTGCGGAACTTCAAGTTGTATTTGATGCCCGGGCGCAAGACGCACTTACACATGCGACGGAGGTGCTGCAGCTACAGAGCACGAATCTGCAAGAGCAAGACGAATTTTTGCACAGGGATGCGGACGCTTCTTTTTCGTGGAACGTTCCTGCCGGTGCCATGGCTGCACACGGCGATGTCGAAGACGACACGTGGGACGACTATGATCTTGCATCTGATGCCGACGCTCAATATTTTGGCGGATGCTGTTGCAGACATGGGGGAACACGTTATGCAATGAGCGAGGGAACCTGCCTGATGAAAAAGATACAAGAAATTTATCCGCAGGGGAGTGTGACTTTGAATTTCGCGAAGCTTTGGTCAAACTTGCTGTCGGTTGTTCTGTCCGTTGGGAAACGGGGAATCCGCAAGTGATCGAGATGGGTGGCAGCAGCCGGCTTTTTCGGGCAAGTCGCGACCTTAGCATGTTGGCATGCGGAATCAATGGGTTGGCACTGCGATACGCGACATTCGATCTACGCAAGGACCCTGAAGTCGTGAAGATTGCCGTTGCCAAGGACTGGCGCTCGTTGCGATTTGGCAGTGTCGCAATTCGGTCTCAGCTTGAACACACAGACATAGCACTTTGCGCAGTAAAGCAAAACGGCTGGGCATACAAATACCTGCGGGGTGACCTCCGGAAGAGTCGTGAACTTGTTCAACTATCCGTTCAACACAAACCGTGGTGCCTACGCTACGTCCCGCTAGAATACCGAGCTGACCTGAAAATTATCACGGACGCGGCGGCGGTTGATGGCGTTGCGGCGTTGAAGTTTTGCGACCCCGCGCTCCAAACAAAAGCGCTACTAACCGTCGCGGTACAGTCAAACGGACTGGCGCTGAAATATTGCGAAGCTGACATTTTGGACAAGTCAATCGTGCAAGTTGCGCTAAAACAAAATCCATACGCACTCAGATATGTGACTGGCGATGCGATGCGCAACGACCTCGACCTGTTGCGTTCACTTTTTCGTGCCCCAAATCCAATGCTGCGGACCGATTGGCATCTTCTTCCAGGACAGTGTCTGCCAGATGAACGCTTTGGAAGCGGGATGTGCGAACGCCAACGCTGCATGAGCACGGATTGCGATACTGCCCATGTTGGCTGCTCTCTGGAACAGCACGAAGATCTTCTTCTTCTGGACGGCGCGAGCGGCCATACGGTGCGCAACACGAGGAACAACCAGATTCATACGAAATCTCCTTGCGGTATCGCGACGCAGGTGCGACCTTGCTCTTGCTCGAGTTGCCTCTTGTCGCAACTCCGTTTTAACGACACCAGCCGCTCTAGCAGTTGCTACAAGCACAATCAAACAAGGCGTCGCCACACGTGCCTAATGCAGCGCTATATTCACGTTCCCGACTTCTGTGGAGATGGGGAGCACGTATGCAATGCGCTTTGCCACGAGCTAGGGCACATATATGTCGAATTTGAGCCGGAGCCCAACCAGTTTCTCGCGCAACATTTTGAGCAGCAGCAGGAAGAGTCCTTTGGCTCGGTTCCGGAGGACCTCGGTGTCCTGGTTCTTCGAGACTTCTGCAATAAGGATGTCTGCGACGACGACTGTATTGTTCTCTCTTGCGTTCGTTTGGACGGGCTGTGCCTCGAGCACGCGAGTTCCCGCATCAGAGGCGATCGAGGGCTTGTCAAGGAGGCAGTCGCGCAGAATCACGACGCCCTGCTCTTCGCTGCGCAACATCTCCGTGAGGACCCGATTTTCGTTGTGGAATTAATGGAAGAAGCCTGCGCAAATGTGTTCTGGAATGCCGACAAGTTGGCAGTGCAGGACGTTTTGCTGTCGGAAAAAGGAGAGAGAAGCCTGTCCCTCCGAGCTCTGAAGGCGTATCCCGGTCTACTGGAGTTCGCCAGTGAGGACTTCAAGCGCGATCGGTCGAACGTTGCAGCGTTGCTAGCGATCGACGGCACAGCCCTTCAGTTCGTGGACTCGTCAATGAAGCGCGACAAAGACCTTGTGCGTGTTGCGCTGAACGCTGGTGGATTCCTTTGGCACGCCGACAAATATCTCGAAAAAGACCCCGATTATGCATGGCAGTATCTATTTTTCCCCTCTTTTCTTCTACGACTTGCACTTGGTCACATCGCTTCGCGAAATTGAATCAAGAGAATGCTTGGCCTCCGTGCTGCGCTAAAAGAAATGACAGGTCAAGCGCTGGTCTTCATTTGCAATGCAGATCGCTGGTCTTTGTGTGCGATTCGTTTCTAAAAAAAGGCTATTCCAGGCATGATTCGCAGCCTGTGAGGTGCGAACGCTTCGACCGTCCACGTTAGAAGCGCGAGCGCTTCGCTATGCCCGCAAGCAAAACAAGCAAGCACAATTTTGAATGGTGGGGTTAGATAGGTTTCTTTATTTTTGTTTTGCATAACTGCTTGTTGCGGGAACAAATCATATCACAAGCTGCAAAGCTTGCCGACCCTTTTACGCCTGTGCGGTGTGATGGCTGGATGGTCAAAAGGAACGAGTTGTACTTTCACCCGACCCCCTATTGGGAGCACGCCATGGCTAGTAAGGAAGACGCCTGCTACGATGATGTCCTGCTTCGTTCTGCCTTGCAACTCGGGCTTGCAAGCTACAAGGACATTCCAGCAGAGCTAGTGCATAATCCGTCAGTCGTGCACGACACACTGACAAAGTTGCGCCGTGCACGTGGACTTTTGCCCCTAGTCGAATACCCCCAGCACCTGGCTGATATTCCCTCTGAGATGCAGAGCGACCCTTTGGTGCAGTGTGAGTTCTATGTTGACGCCGTCACTCAACGTGGCCGGAATCTAGACCACGACACGATTCTGACCGGGCTGAGGACAACGCAAGCATTCTGTCTGACTTTTTTCCTGTACATGGAAACGGAGGATGAATCGTCCGTCTTTTTCTCATCATCTGCAGACGCAGAAAAGTATGCACTCGTAACTCTTCGTGACACCAGCTGGGGTGCGGAAGTATACTTCTTGTTGCCAAAGCTTGTCCGCGATTCAGCAGCAGTGCAGCATGCTTTTTTTCATCTTGTAGGTGAACCACTTGAAGTCGGAAACATGCTCGGGTTTGCCCTCCACCACTGCACAGAGCTTGTTAGGAACAGGTGCAGCGTCTACAACGGAGCATGGTCCAAGTTCGAACGAAGCCGGAAAAGCTCGGTGCCAGAAGCCAGTTGGAAGACAACTGAGCTCGTGAGCTCAACGGAGAACTTTTTGCGACTGCGCTTGCCGGCTTCTCACACGAATCCTGAAAATGCTTGCCTTCTCAATACGGCGGAGGCGCGTCGAGCCAGGGTGTTGGCGTCTCCATTTCCTTAGGCACACGGACGACGGAAGAAGAAACGAGCAAGTTCCGAATTATGGACGCAGTTCGGGCACAGACAGCCTTGTGCCGAAACTACAGTCCAATCTGTTTCCACCAAGCTTTGACTTTGCGCTGCACGATATAGGACAAGAACTCTGATTCAGACCAGCTTCTTACGGCATACGAACGAGAACTTTGATGATGATAGATTTCCATTCAGCGGATGGCAGTTTCTATAGTCGCAATTCTTGTATAATAGTTTTACTTCAACAGGATAGAGAACAAGACGAAGCTACGAACAAATTTGAACGCAAGTTGTGCACGTGGATAATTCTGATGCGAGGGAAGAAAACTGAAATGAAACAAACTGTCGAGATGGTTTCGTCTTTGCTCGATTTCCCACCCTGATTCCGTGGCGCGTCGGCTAGGTGCATGCCCGAGGTATGGCAGGCTTCACACCCGGAGCGCGTCCTCTGGTTGGAGTCATTTCTCGAGGTAAGGAAGCATCGAGAATGAAAAATGTCGAACATCTGAGATCATGCCCCCGCGGCCGGTGAATAGATCTAGAAGCTACAGTTTGGCTTTGATCATGCGCAGCTCTTTGTAGCCCGTGTTATGCAATGTTTTACATGATCTATCTCCCCGCCGCACAGGCCCTAATCCATTATTAATAATTAACACTTAATTTCTTTGCCCAAGCAAAGGATCCTTGTGCATTTATCTCGCCCGCATCCACATCGTGATCAGGCGTTTTATTCATCATCATGTGTCTTGCAAACAAGTTTTCTCCCCAAAAACGTCCAGTCGAGCAATATTCCGCTCACCATTATTACTTACACTCAGCCACCGTGCTGCTCTATCTTTGTTTGAGAACGGAGATGATGTTGCAACAAAAGGTCGCCGATAAATAAGCCACTTTTAGCGACGTTCAGGTTTGTACATCTGCGCTTTCCCACTTTATTCTGCAATAGCTAGGCAGTTGCGAGCTTTTTTCTCAAGGGCAATCAATCGCCTGATTGTTTTCATTCGTGTCAGAGGTCAGAGCCCGACAATGCGCGCTAAGAAACAACAACCTCCGGGTCCGGCAGAGGCAGATCGGTGGGATGAGGGTTCTGGCACTGCGGGAGGTACAAAGTGCCTGAGAATCAACAATCTTGCGGGTAACACTATCAGCAAGCTTTTTGTTCCATCTGCGACTGATTACGTGCAGCTGCGGCACGTGAAAAAACATCTTGCCAGTGTTTTGCCAGATCGGAGCTCGCTTGTCGGAATAGGAGCATTGGTCCAGCAAAAAGTCATGCGCAAGCGTAAAGGCGTGGCAGGGACTGTTGCGGGTAGTTCGGAAGGTGCTGATGAGAAGGATCGGTCGCCGGTATCTCCAGCTCATGAGGACAAAGATCTGGCGCAGCCGCAAGTGGAGGAGCCCGACCCTGTTGCACGACCTCAAGCTTGTAGTGAACACATTTCTGGCGCCGGTGAGTCCGTGCTCGCAGAACCACTTGACCCGGCCTCCGACAACGAAGACAGAGCTTCATCGCGAAAGGCTACTTGGCTCGTCTGGGACGGACGTTTCGACATTCCAGTGAGCTTCGATGACCAGGACCAATTGACAGAAATACAGGTGGTTTTTGATGACCGAGCACAGGCGGCGCTTGAATACGCGAAAGAGAGGTTGTTCCGCATATCCGATGAAGACATGGAATTTCTCCGGAATCAAGCTCTTTTTGCAAACCCACCCGTTTCAGACTTCACTATTGCCTCTGAGGATGGCTACGTGGGAGGCGACGCCGCAGACAATTTTGAACTCGCGGCGCAAAACAGCTACCACGGGGATTGTTGCCATGATGATGGCACAGGATGTCTGCTCTTGAAAATTAAAGAAATGTACCCTCACGGCGTGGATCCGAAACCCGTCACAGGAGATTTCGAGTTCCGGGAGGAGTTGTCCAAGCTTTCAGTGGAGGCTTCCATGCGCTGGAGGCATTCCTCGAATCCGAAGCGCATTCAGATGGGGAGCAGTTCATCTCTCTTTCGCACGAGCAAAGAACTTACCACCATAGCATGCGAGATCAATGGGTTGGCACTTCGCTACGCTATTCCAGCACTTCGTCAAGATCCTGAAGTCGTCAAGGTTGCAGTGCAAGCTGATTGGCGCTCATTGCGTTTTGCAAGTGCCGAGCTTCGTTAGTCATTGACTTATGCGGAAATCGCTCGGTGCGCGATCCGGCAGAACGGCTGGGCGTACAGGTATCTGTGTGGAGACCTTAGACATTGTACGGAGCTGATTCGCCTGGCGGTCGAGCACAAACCGTGGGTCCTACGTTATGCTCCCGAACCGAACCGACACTGTCGAGAAGTAGTGACTGCAGCAGCCATGGTGGACGGTGTCCCTGCGCTGAAGTTCTCCAACCCGCACTCGCAAACCAAGGAGCTGGTGAAAACCGCTGTGCGGTCTAATGGCCTCGCGCTAAAGTATTGTGCGCAAGAGCTAGTCGACACGTCCATAGTTGATATCGCCCTGCATCAGAACCCGTACGCACTAAGATTTGTGCAGGACGCCGAAATACGCAATAACGTGGACGTACTGCTGAAAATGTTTCGCGGTCCAAGTCCCGTTTTGCGAACAAACTGGCACCTTCCCACACCTCCGCCAAAACTAAATAGCGACGACGCAAACATGTGTAGGAGCGTCACGGCCGTGCCTCCTGAAGCGGGAACATATAGTCGAAAACCGATCTACGCTTCGCCCTGGAGCAGCGATGTTGAAGTTGATGGGACAGCCATGAAATGTGGTTCTGGTGTTTGCGAGGAAGGAGCTGAAAGCGACAGAAACTGCTTGACTGTGGCCTCCACTAGTAATTCTCTGTCATCCAAGCGTTACCTTTGTTCCTCTTGTCGTGTGGACGCAATAAAAGACCATTACCATACGCGAGTTCGCAGTTGGCACGTGCGTTATGAGCCACTCAGGCGAACGGCTTGCCTTATGCAGCGCTACATCCACGTTGCTGATTTTTGCGGAGACGGCGAGCATATCTGCAATGCTGTGTGCTTCAAGCAGAAGCATATTTATCCGGCCACCGCGGAGGGTGAGCACAGTCCGGTATTGGAGGAGCGCTTCGCAAATCTCCAAGAAGAGGAATTTGACGATGTGCCAGAGGACCTTCCGTGCCTCATACTGCAAAAATCGCCGTCGGAAGCTGTTTGTGATCACGAAGAGATCGTTCGGCGCTGTGTTCAGCTTGATGGATTATGTCTCGAGCACGCGAGCGTGCGACTTCGTGGAAACCGTGCAATCGTGAAGGAGGCAGTCTCTCAGAATCACGATGCCCTGCTGTTTGCGGCTGAAAATCTCCGCACCGACCCAGACTTTGTACTTGAGTTGATGGAAGGAGCTTGCAGGGAAGCATTCTGGAACGCAGACGCGACAAATGTGCAGAAAGTGTTACTTCAGACGAAGAGTATGTGCGATTTTCACATGCGAGCTTTGCGAGCGTATCCGTCTTTATTGCAGTTTGCCCCAAACACATCAAAGGGTGACCCCGCGATTGTGCTGCCAATTTTGAAGATTGATGGAACGGTCCTTGCCTTTGCAGACGGTGCAATCCAAGGGAACCGAGATTGCGTGGCTATCGCAATCGCGTCGGGAGGCTCTTTGAACGACGCGCATCAATCCCTGCGAACTGACCGTGAATATGCACAGAGAGCTGGCCCCTTGTTCTGCTCAACTGTTTTTTTATTTCCAATGGGTCTTTCTCGTCTTTACTTGCAAACATAATGACGAGGGCCGATCATGTACTAGCATAAAAAATTCATGGCCATGCATAGCTGCGACGAAAAGAATTTTGTACTGAACAACTTTGGTAGCGTTTTTTTCGGTCGGGCATCATGACAAAAAATTAAGAGACAAAAGCACCCAGATGATTTGGACGAAAGACATAAGGAGGCCAGCACTCTATTGTGCATAGCAAACTCGCAGCGCGCATGATTCTCGCTCACGCCGCGAAGCTTGACACACCCGGCTCCTGCCCGTGGGAGCTGTGCTACGCCGTCAAAGCACCTTGGGACCAAATCAAGAATGATAGCATTTGCACCGACCATCCAGCCTTGCTGCAGGCTGCAATGCGACTTGGGCTTGCGACTCAAGAAGATGTTCGGCCGTTTTTGCACCGTTTTCCGTCCCTGCTTTACACGGCCTTGCCGCAATTCCGTGCCACGTTCGTTGGTCGGGACAATCCGGGCAAAACGTTGAACGGCCTTGATGAAGTTCCTGCTTGGTTGCAAAACGATCCGATAGTGCAGTGTGAGTTTTACGTCGAAGCGGTGAGAAGGAGCCGACAAAATCTACCCAGTTCCACGATCATCACCGGACTGAAGCGGACACAGGCGTTCTGCATTGAGTTTTTCGTCCACATGAACATCGACGATAAGGCCTCAGTTTTCTACTCGTCGAGGGAAGATGCCGAACAGTACGCGCTAACAAGCCTAGAGGAAACCGACTGGGGAGCTGAAGTCTATTTTCTGTTTCCAAAAGCCGTTCGCCACTCGACTCGGATTCAAGATGCCTTTCTCAACTTGTGTGGCGAACCACTAGAAATCGGAAATATGATGGGTTTGTGTTTGATGCATTGTACCGAACTTGTCCGTATGAACGGGCGCAACAACTACGCCGGAGATTGGTCTATCTTTGAGAGGAATCGTAAATGCAGCGTGCCTGAAATAAATTGGCACACTAGCAGCGAATACAGTCCTATGACAAGGTGTCTCAGGTTGCGCATTCCATGGACGCACATGAACCCAGAGAAGGCAGCTCAGGTCCAGAATGCAAAAGAGCGACGCGATTTCTATTACTTCTTACTTGGTCTAGGTGCTTAGCAGTCTGCTTTTGGCTTCGACAAAAACAGTGCTCGCAGTCGGTCATGTTGACGCATTACTCGAGCAGAACAGGAGGGACTGACTGCAACCGTGACTGGTGGTGCTGACAGTACGCCTGCACATGACAGTACGCCCGAACACTTCAGTACCAAAGTCGCCACACATACCTTCTGATAGATAATCTTACCTTGGCATGGTTTTAGAATAGTTTTACGCAACAAGAAACAAGCTCATGTGGATCATTATATATACCCCGACCTTGGCACGTGCTGCCATTTCTTTTCTAGTCATTACGCATCAAGAAGGACTTTTGAAGGCTGTGCTCACACGTGTATGATGATTTCCATCCGACCCTGAAACTAAGATTGATTGCAAAGAAAGTGCATGTGGATGATGACGAAGATACGAGGACAAAATAGGAACGAACCATGTAAGTGTATCGCTTCGCCTTTGCTCGGTTCGTGGCGCGTCGGCTATGTTCATTCCTGAGCCGGCTGGCTTCACACGAGAAGCGCCCCCTCTGATTACAGGCGTCTTTCGAAATGAGGAAGTTTTGCAAAGATATGACGAGCGCCAGCAGTGGCGTTGTTGCTACATAAATGAAAAATCTCCAATGACTGAAATCATGTGTGCTGCCGATGAACAGATCTAGATACAATGCCTCTCTCGCGGTGAGTAAGACTTGAACACAGTACTTATCTAGAACGGGCGTGCGCTCCGCGCCCGCCGGCCCGGCGACGAGGGGGTGCAAGGGGGAGCGAGGGAGAAAGTTCCTACAGGGTAGCGCCTAGCGCTACAGCCTCAAACCATGCTGGCACAACAGGCGAAAAAGAGAAACAGCAGCGCCCCTGGCGTACCTCCCTCGGTCGGCGGGAACGAAAGAAGTGCAGGTAGAGAGAAGGCCGCGAGGCACAGGGGGCGCTAGAGAGCGCACAGCCTAGCCCCTGTCCGAGCCGCCACAAACAGGTCCTGCGGAGAGCGTGCCAAGACCCTTTTCGAAGGCCCGGGAGGTTAATCACAGGAAAGAGAACGAAAAGAGCGCGCCGACGGCCGAAAAACAGGAAACACGGCTAGCGCCAAGCAAAGACAAAGCAGAGCAGGCAGGGCGGCAGCGGGAAGGCAGGGCGGGCGTTGCGGGTGGTTCTCGTGAGAAACCTGACAGCCGCAAAAAAAGTAGACAGGCCTAAGCCCGCGCCCGGGGAAGAGGGAAAATAAAGCCCTGGAAACGAAAGGAAAAGCGCCCAAATAGGCCGAGGAGGCGAGCCGTAAAGGAACCGGAAGCACGCCCGGTCGCCCAAAGGGCGCGGGGCATGCAAAATCGGGCAGCCCCGGCGAGGCCGAAAAGCCCCATCGGCATGCGACGAAGCCCGGCCTGAAGACATCTACGAGAGAGTGTTCGGCAAGGGGAGACCGCAGCCCCAGGCGCCGTGCCCTGCCCGAGGCCCCTTGACAGGCGGCCCGGGCGAGCTTTTGCTGGTCTATTGTGTTTCCATCGGGGATTCTCGCCCGAGCTGCGTTGGCGGGTTTCCTCACTAGTGTTTTCGCTTTCCCCAAAGTCGGGCTTTTTGTCACTAGTGCCTCTACTAGTGGGCGCCTTCACTAGTGGCGCCTGTCACTAGTACCTTCTTCGCGTTTTTGTCACGCTAAAAACACTAGCAGGATTTCTACTAGTACTCATTTTTCTGCTAGCACGATTCTACTAGCAGCATTTCTATTAGCACCTTGCACCCCCCCGCCCGCCAGAATTTTTCCAATAGTATTATAGATAATTGTGTGAGTGAGACTTGAGCACAGTACTTAGTGGGTCTCGAATTTGGCTGCGCGACGGAGGCCTGTGCGTAAATGAGATCCTCCTGCGGTCACATCTTGGACAAGACGTTTTGGATCATTTTGAGCGATCTTCTGCGACTGGGTCGCAAGCTGCCAAGCAAAGCATCGGTGAATCACAATGTGTAATATTGCCTCGGAGAGGCATCAAAATAGTTACCAAAACTGCGCAAATGTGGGTGCGATACACAGAGGTATTGAAGCCTACGCAACTATGGGTGCGGTACACAGAGGTAGTAGAGCAGTTTTTTTTTTTCGTTGGCCTCTCAAAAGCTGATTCTTGAAATTTCTTTCCTCGGAGATGGCAGACAACTACCCTGATATTGCAGAAAAAGTACTGCAGCTGGACAGAAAAATCCTCGAATCTAGTGCTCAAACTCAAACTTGACATCTTTCAGCTGAATAGATAAACCATGTCCTTTTGTAGTTTGGGCGGTGCTGATCTGTTTGTTCGGTCTTGTTGAAAGCCAACTTTTGTTTTTTGTTGCGGAAATTGTTGAATTTTGTGTTGAAGCTTTCTCGTGCGGTTTCAGTGCCCGAACATCGTAAAGTTGCCGCGTCAATCACGCTTCTGAAATAAAGTAAAATTCTGGTTGCCCGGTAAGCTCTAGAAATTTGTCATTGATCATAAATATAAAAATAGAATATAAATCGGGTGCGTACTTGGACCATTGGGTAGTGAAAAGTGTGATCTTCAAAAGATGCTTCCAAATTAAAGGACGTCGACGTCCAGCGCATCTTCGATGATCAAGTCACAATCTCCTGCCTAGACAAAAATGAGCACCCAGCACCTTGGTGCAACACATAACTTTTTTGGCAAGAGCCTTTGCATATGACTCGCCGATGCATCCCATTCAAATGTCGTGAGGCGAGGCAAAAACTCAATGCGCAGATCAGAAACGTAACACCCCATCAGTGGCCTCGCTCCGTATGCTGTGCTAGTCACTACAGAAGCAAATGCTCACACACATAATTGACTTTTACTTTCACACATCCTATAGAAAAAGGCTTATCAGCATGGCTCCTAGTGTTCACGCATTCCTCGGTGCCGACGCTCACCTGCGAACAGGAAACGTTTTTTTTCCCCACGACACAGAGCCAGCTGCGAAGGTATTAGAAAACGCTTCCTGCAAGCAAGTGAAAGTGAGCGATCTTGGCGGAAACACATTGGGAACTATTATTGTGCCAAGAGACGAAAAACAGATTTTGCTCCGCGAAGTGAAGACCCACCTGGTTGCAGTTCGAAGCGGTGCACAAAAGTCATTGGCTGGTCAAGGAGTTGTTTTGCCAACAGAAATCATCGAAAAAGTTCGCTCCAGCTTTTCGGGACGCTGTGATGAAGAAGCATCCGAGCCAATTACAGTGGCGACTACATCTGTCGGGCCCCATGGGCGTGGCAAGAAAGCTGAGGGTGAGACCAACTATGTAAAGAAAGCCATGAGCTCGAGCAGCACTTCTACATTTTTCCAGGACGAAGAAAGATGCATAGTATGGGATGGACGCTTCCCGATTCCGATCGGCGAGATAGCTGACGAAGAGAAAGATTGCGAAATTCAGGTTGCCTTCGACGGTCGCGCTCACCAAGCCCTCGACTTTGCTCGCACTCATTTGCAGCGCATCTCTGAAAGGAGCCTGAGTTTCTTGCGAAAAAGTAACGATCATGAGTTCCATTACCCTGTTGACGCCGGAGATATCGTGTATGATAGCGAAGCTGAAAATGATACCTGGGATGAATACTATCTTCCGGACGACGCGCATAACGAGGTTTTTGACGGTGGATGTTGTTGTCGTAGATTTGAGTTGGGTGACATGTGCCTAGTTGAAAAAATATCCGCGAGGAGAAACTTCCCTTTCAAGCCCTGTGACTGAAGATTTGCATCATCATCAAGCCTGCTGTTGATGTATGACTAAATACCATCTTGAAGATTGCAGACCGATCGCGTTCCCATTGCAGATTCGTGCATACGGGGACAGCCTGCTTCAATGACACTTATTTTTCACTACATCTAGAATAAATGGGTATGGGTTCCAGGACTATGCTTGGAAAGGTTAGTTTTTTGTGTGGAGACAACATCCGAGATATCTATCCACATTTTGGCGAAGATGTGATCTTTGGATCTTTAGATTGGGAGTTTCGTGAAGAACTCGTGAAATTGACTGTGGAGTCGTCGCTTCTCTGGTACGAGTCATCAAATGCCAAGCGGATCGAGATGGGAGACAGTCAAGCCCTGTTTCGACAAAGCAAGCCCCTCACAATACTCGCCTGCAACATCAGTGGCCTTGCGCTTCGATACGCATCGCCGACGCTCCGCAACGATCCAGAGGTGGTCGAGGTTGCCGTTAGAAAAGACTGGCGGTCCCTTCGCTTCGCGACCGTGCCGATTCGTTCCTCGCTAGAGTATTTCGATATTGCTCTCTCGGCGATTGAGCAAAATGGTTGGGCGTACAAATATCTCCGTGGTGAGCTCCACGAACATCATGATCTCATTCGACTGGCCATCGCGCACAAGCCATGGGTCCTGCGTTACGTCGCCGAAGCCTATCGAGAATCTATCGAGCTGGCCATGGCAGCGGCCCAAAAAGACGGAGTTCCAGCTCTTAAGTTCTTCAACTCATTATGAAAATGCCATACGCATGCATCTCTCAGCTCCACGCAGCATCATTCGTGTCCCGGACACCAAAGCTAGGGAGTTATGCATGGCAGACAGCACACGTTTTTGTATTGCAGTACGTGTGTTATCTGCGTATTTTCCAACATAACAATAGGCACCTTTATGAACTAGCGTTGCTTTGGGTTTGGGCCAGCATTCTGCAGGCACGAGAGGAAAAGACGCATGTTGGCGACAACGGCATACTCAGAGAATCAGACCAGGGACCTGCTACGGACTGCAGTTCAATCCAACGGTCTTGCACTCAAGTACTGCGATCCTGAGCTTGTTGACAAACACATTGTCGCCGATGCACTGCGCGAAAACCCGTACGCACTTCGATTTGTGACCAAGAAGGACTTCCGATGCGACCAAGCCCTCCTGCGAGAACTTTTCGATGGCGCCAGCCCGATGCTGCGCACCGACTGGCAGATTCAAGTACCGATAGGTAAACGTATGGCAGCCAGAACTCCATCTCAGAGCCACTGCCCGGGATCACTCACAACGATTGCGATTGACAATGTCGCCCCGGCGCGCATCAGAAGGACCTCCCGCACACACCAGTGCTCGTCTTGCTCGCTGGCGCTGCTAAAGTACAAGGACGGGAACAAGCGGCTTCGCTATCAGAAACGTGATGAAACCGTCCGCAGACAAGCATGCTTGATGCAGCGCTACATTCAAATAAGTGACTTCTGCGGTGACGGCGAACACGTCTGTAATGCAGTATGCTGCCTACAGCACCACCACTACCCACATTGCGAAAACCCGATCGACGTCGGTGTGTGGGAACCTTTCACGCTTCCAGGTCTAGCAGCCCGCTTTGATGACGTTCAAGAAGAGGAGTACGACAGTGTTCCGGAAGAGCTGTCCGCCTTGGTGTTGCAGTATGAATCGCCTTTGCAGGATCGAATTCGTGACTCGGAAGAAGTAGTGTCTCGTTGCGTACAACTTGATGGACTAGCCCTCGAACATGCGAGTCCACGGCTTCGTCAAAACCGGGAGATCGTAAGAAGCGCAGTTGCGCACAATCATGACGCCCTCCTTTTTGCCGGGAGCGCTCTTCGCAAAGATCCTGACTTCATAGTCCAGCTAATGGAGGACACATGTGCCGAAGTATTTTGGAATGCCGACGACGAAAGTGTGCGGGACATGTTGCTGCAAGGACAGGCAAGACCGGATCTGTCTTCACGTGCATTAATGGTGTATCCTTCGCTTCTGAAATTTCTTTCCTCTGACATGCCAAACTACCCTGGCGTTGTAGAAGAAGTACTACGGCTGGACGGAAAAATGCTCGAGTTCCTCCCACCGGCCTTTCGAAGCGACAGAAACCTTGTCAAGATAGCGATGAAATCAGGCGGTTTGTTGCACCACGCACCAGAGACGCTGCAAAGCGATGCTGCGTATGAAAGGAAGCGAAGCCTTCACCTTCCCGACACGTGTTAAGATACATTTGTTGATGAATGTTGTGCATTTCTTGTTTTGATCCCTAGTATCACGGCTTGGTCTTCTTATCACTTCTGTGGTGGGTGGAGCATATGTGGCAGCCCGCTTTGCGTCAACACGCCTTGCGCTCGCGCTGGAATGTGAAAAAAATCCAGGACAGAGCGCAGGTTCCAGGATTCTTCTATTGACATTCGATATTTGACATACAGAAATGGCATTGATCGCGCTATCCGCGACAGCAGCGTGACAAATTACGTGTATTTGTATAAATAAACCATGGGGAATGTGGATCTTCTTCTTGTCCATAACCATCTGATCAGAGAGATGTTTCTGTCGCACTCGGCGCAGTTGGATGAGCCGACCACACCACCCTACGAAGACAAGCGCTTCCTCAAGACTTATTGGCCGTATACAAACGACAACCCATGCGACGACTCGGAACTGCTAGAAGCTGCGCTCCGCCTTGCTGTAGCGAACCACGAGCACATTCATCCGCTAGTTGCTGATGTACCGGCGATTGTACGCCTAACCCTGCGGGACCTGCGCACCTCTCTTGGACTGCGTCATCCGGGTAAGGTACCAAAGAGCCTGGATGAAATACCGCAGGTGATGCGAAGCGATCCCTTTGTCCAGCGAGAGTTCTACGTGGAAACCGTCACTCGGAGTGGGCGCAACCTGGAGCGCAGCGTCATTTTAGCAGGAATCAAATCCGAAAACCCTTTGTTTTCCGCCGTTTTGTTTTTCCACATGAATCTGGAAGACGAGAATTCGCCTTTCTATTCCATTCAGGAGGACGCAGAGCAATACGCACTCGCAGCGCTACGCGAGACGGATTCCGGTGTAGACTTATACTACCTGTTTCCGAAAGCCGTTCGGGCCTCGCTTGAAGTCCAAGATGCCTTCTTGAACCTGTGTGGCGAGCCACTGGAAATAGGCAATTTAGTGGGTTTCGCTTTAATGAACTGTCCGGAGCTCGCACGCAGAAGATGCCCACCATGCGATGCTGGCGCATGGTCCAAATACGAGCGAAGCCGCAAGAGCGTTGCGCCGGAAGTGACCTGGCAGACGAGTGCCGCGCGCCTGTCACGGTTTTCGGCTCCGGAACAATTTCTGCGATTCCGACTCCCTGATGCATTCAAAACGCCCGAGAAAGCGACGCTGCTGAGCACGGCAGAGGCACGTCTTTCTTCCCGAGCTACCTAAGAGCCCATTTAGCATGTCCACTACGGGATCTAAGTCCGGGGGGAAAATACCTGCCGAAGGGGTTTAGGCACCTCGAACAAGATGTGCGATTTGAGCTCAAATGAGCAGACCAGGGCTTGTTGGACGAACGTGCTCATTACTGACAAGCACATAGCAACCGTCTTCTTGCAATCTTTGACTTTGCGTTGCACAAGAAAGGGTAGTGAGGCGCTTGCACTGGTTCGATCGAAACAAGAGTAAGATAAGCGCTCAACGGTAAAAAAGTGTGACCATTGTGGATGATAGATTTATTTCCGTTCAGCCGATGGCAGTTTCAGTAACATCGCAATTCTTGTATGATGGTTTTATTCAAGAGGATAGATGAGAACAAGACGAAGCTACGAAGAAATTTGAACGCAAGTTGTGCACGTGGATAATTCTGATGCAAGACAAGAAAATTCAAATAAAACGAACCGTCGAAATGGTTTTGTCTTTGCTCGAGTTCCCACCTTAATTCCGTAGCGCGTCGGCTTGACATCTTTCAGCTGGATAGATAAATGTAATGCAGATCAAATCACCATGTAGATCTGATGACACGATGCAAACCGCCTGAAATCCACGATCTGAAATCACTCCATCCCGAGCGAAGAGCGATGCAAATCGAGAGATGATGATGTGATGATGATGATGAACTTGTTCCTTTCCCCAATGCAACAGTTACGTGGATACTAGTGCTGTAGGGTGTACACCGCCCTACATGGTGGTATTAGTGTTCTAACAATAAACCATGTCATTTTGTAGTTGGGGCGGTGCTGATCTCTTTGTTCGGTCTTATTGAAAGTCAAATTTTGTCTTTTTTTGCGGAAAGTGTTGAATTTTGTGTTGAAGTTTTCTCGTGCGGTTTCAGTGCCTGAACATCGTAAAAGTGCCTCGTCAATCACGCTTCTGCAATAAATTAGAATTCTAGAAGTTGCCTGGTATGCTTTAGAAATTTATCATTGATCATAAAAAAATATAAAAACAACTGGTCGGGTGTGTACTTGGACCATTGGGTAGTGAAAAGTGTGACCTTCAAAAGATACTTTCAAATTACGAGAGGACGTCGACGTCCAGCGCATCTTCGATGATCAAGTCACGTTCTTCTGCCTAGATAAATATGAGCATCTTGCACGTTGGTGCAACAAATAACTTTTTTTGGCAAGAGTGTCTCTATATGAGTCGCCGATGCATCGCATTCAAATGTCGCGAAGCAAAGACTCAATGTTCAAATCAGAAACGCAACACCCCATCAGACAGTGACCTCGTTGCGTACTTGCCAGTCGCTGCAATAGCAAATCCGCACGCACATAAGACTTTTACTTTCACACATCCGATAGAGAAAGTCTCATCAGCATGGCTCCTGCTGTTAACGCACTCCTCGGCGCGGACGCTCACCTGCGGTTGCGGACAGAAAACATTTTTTTTCCCCACGGAACAGAGCCAGCTGCGAAGGTATTAGAAAACGCTTCCTGCAAGCAAGTGAAAGTGAGCGATCTTGGCGGAAACACATTGGGAACTATCATCGTGCCAAAAGACGAAAAACAGATTTTGCTCCGCGAAGTGAAGACCCACCTAATTGCAGGTCGAACCGCCGGTGCAGAAATTTCATTGGCTGGTCAAGGAGTTGTTTTGCCAACAGAAATCGTCGAAAAAGTTCGCTCCAGCTTTTCGGGACGCTGTGATGAAGAAACAAAAGCATCCGAGCCAATTACAGTGGCGACTATGTCTGTCGGGCCCCATGGGCGTAGCCAGAAAGCTGAGGATGAGACAAAGAGTCTAAAGAAAACCATATGTTCGAGCAGCACTTCTACATTTTTGCAGGACGAAGAAAGGTGCATAGTATGGGATGGACGCTTCCCGATTCCAACCGGCGAGACCGCTGACGAGGAGAAAGCTTGCGAAATTCAGGTCGTCTTCGATGGTCGTGCTCAGCAAGCGCTCGAATTCGCTCGCGCCCATCTGCAGCGCATCTCTGCGCGGGACCTGCGTTTCTTACGAAAGAAACATGTTGACGAGTTCAACTACCCTGTTGACGACGGAGATGTTGTAGCTGATAGCGAAGCTGAAGATGATACCTGGGATGATTACGATCTTCCGGACGACGCCGATAATAATTTTTTTGATGGTGGATGTTGTTGCCGTAGGTTTCAGCTAGGCGGCATATGCCTGGTTGAAAAAATATCCACGCGGAGGAACTCCCCTTTCAAATCCGAAGCTAAAATCTCTCCCCTTGCAACTTGAGGTTTGCATCATCATCAAGTAGACTTCTGCTGATGTATGACGACATCTTATCTCAGAGATTCCCTATAACGAGTGAATCGATTGGTCGACAAGGTTCTTCTATCTAAAAAAAGAATGTAACTTTTGTGTTTAATTACAAAGAAAACATTCCATTTCTAGGATTACAGTATGAAGGGGGAGTTTTTCGGTCGGAGACAGCATCCAAGACATGTATCCACATTTTGGCGAAGATTTGACTTTCGGCTCTTTAGATTGGGAGTTTCGTGAAGAGCTCGTGAAACTGACAGTGGAAGCGTCGCTCCTCTGGTACGAATCATCAAATGCCAAGCGGATCGAGATGGGAGACAGTGAAGCCCTGTTTCGCGAAAGCAAGCCGCTTACACTACTCGCGTGCAACATCAATAGCCTTGCTCTTCGATACGCATCACCGACCCTTCGCAACGATGCAGAGGTAGTTGAAGTTGCTGTCAGAAAGGACTGGCGGTCCCTTCGGTTTGCAAGCGTGCCGATCCGTTCCTCACTCCAGTACTTGGATATTGCTCTATCGGCGATCAATCAAAATGGTTGGGCGTACAAATATCTCCGCAGCGAGCTGCAGGAGCATCATGATGTCATTCGAACGGCCATCTCGCACAAACCTTGGGTCCTGCGTTACGTCCCCGAACAACATCGAAACTCCACCGAGCTTGCCATGGCCGCGGCCCAGAAAGACGGAGTTCCAGCTCTTAAGTTTTTCAACTCATTATGAAAAAGCCATAGCCATGCATCTCGCAGCTGGAGCCCAGCATGCGTGTGCCAGACATCAAAGCTAGGAATTTATGCTTGCCGAAGCAGAAAGTTTTTATTTATTGCAGTATGTATACGCGTATTTTCCAGAAAAATGCAAAAAAGCACGGATATGAAGTGACGTTGCGACCGGCTTTGGCTTTGGGCACGCAAGTGGACTCCTGCACGAGAGAAAATGACGCAAGGCGGCAACTGCATACACTGAATATCAGACCAAGGAGCTCTTACGGACCGCAGTCCGGTCAAACGGTCTTGCACTCAAGTACTGTGTTCCTGAGCTTGTCGACAAACCCATAGTCGCCGACGCCGTCCGCGAAAACCCATACGCACTTCGATTTGTGACCAATGACGACTTCCGATGCGATCAAGCCCTCCTGCAGGACCTTTTGGACGGCCACAGTCCGATGCTGCGTACGGACTGGCACATCCAATTGCCGAGAAGTACATCTATGCTAGCCGGAACTCAACCTCAGAGCCGCAGCTCGGAACCACTCAAGACCACAAATGCAGTTGACGATGTCGTCCCGCGCATCAAAAATAAGTGCTCGTCCTGCTCACTGGCGCTGCTGAAAAACAAGGCCAAGGGCAAGCGGATTTGCTATCACGAGCGCGATGAAACCATACGAAGGCAAGCATGCTTGATGCAGCGTTACATTCAAATAAGTGACTTCTGCGGTGACGGTGAGCACGTATGTAATGCAGTATGCTACCGACAGGACCACTACTACCCCAACAGCATAGAACCACTCAACTTCGGTGAGTGGGACCCCTTCACGCTTCCTAGTCTAGCAGCACGCTTTGATGACGTTCAGGAAGAGGAATACGGCAGTGTTCCAGAAGAGCTTTCAGCCTTGGTCTTGCAGTACGAATCGCCTTCGCAGCATCGAGTTCGTGACTCAGAAGAAGTAGTGCGTCGTTGCGTACAACTTGATGGACTAGCCCTCGAACATGCGAGCCCGCGGCTTCGCCAAAACAAGGAAATTGTAAGAGCCGCAGTTGCACAAAATCATGACGCCCTCCTTTTTGCCGGAACCAACCTTCGCCAAGATCCTGAATTCGTAGTCCAACTCATGGAGGACACATGTGCCGAAGTATTTTGGAATGCTGACAAAGAAGGTGTGCAGGACATCTTGCTGCAGGGACAGGCAAGGCCGGATCTGTCTTTGCGGGCACTACTCGTGTGCCCGTCGCTCTTGAAATTTCTTTCTTCGGAGATGGCAGACTACCCTGGCATTGCAGAGAAAGTACTGCAGCTGGACGGAAAAATCCTCGAGTTCCTCCCACCGGCCTTCCGAAGCGACAGACACTTCGTGAAGATAGCGATGAAGTCGGGCGGTTTGTTGCACTACGCACCGGAAACGCTGCAAAGTGACCCTGAGTATGAAAAGAAGCGAAGGCTTAACTTTCCCGACATTTGTGAAAATAGATATTTTCGTGGTCTGTGCGCATCCTTGTTGTGTATCGATTCTTTGCGATCTCGACATGATATTCTGATCGCATTTTTGATGGGTGTAGCATATGCAGCAGCCCGCTTTTCGTCAAACTTCCAAGCTCTGCCGAATGAATGTGAAATCTCCCACAGAGCGCGTGCCAGATATCTTGTTCTACCTATGTATTGACATTTAATATAATTTTGTATGACAGAGAGGACAGCACTCAGCGCATTATGCGCGAGACAAATTACAGAAAACCATGGGGAACGTGGGTCTCCTTCTTGTCCATAGCCACCTGGTCAAGGATATGTTTTTGTCGCACTCGGCGCAGTTGGATGAGCCGACCACGGCACCCTACGCAGACAAGCGCCACCTTAAACCATACTGGCCTTATACAATTGACAATCCGTGCAACGACTCGGAACTGCTCGAAGCCGCGCTCCGCCTTGCTGTAGCGAACCACGAGCACATTCATCCTCAAGTTGCTGATGTTCCCTCGATTGTGCACCTGACCTTGCCGGAACTGCGCTACTCTGTTGGTTTGGTTTACCTCGGCAAAGTGCCAAAGGGTCTGGATGAAATCCCACAGGTGATGCGAAGCGATCCTTTTGTCCAGCGAGAGTTCTACGTGGAAACCGTCACTCGGCGTAGGCGCAACCTGGACCGGGACGTCATTTTAGCGGGAATCAAATCCGAAAACCCGATGTTTTGCGCCGATTTGTTTTTCAACATGAACCTGGAGGATGAGAATTCGCCTTTCTACTCCGATCAAGAGGACGCAGAGCAGTACGCACTTGCAGCGCTGCGCGAAACCGATGCTGGTGTAGACTTGTACTACCTCTTTCCGAAAGCCGTTCGGGCCTCGCTTAATGTCCAAGATGCGTTCTTGAACCTGTGTGGCGAGCCGCTGGAAATAGGAAATTTAGTGGGTTTCGCTTTAATGAACTGTCCGGAGCTCGCACGCAGAAGATGCCCACCATGCGATGCTGGCGCATGGTGCATGTACGAGCGAAGCCGGAAGAGCGCCGCGCCGGAAGTGACCTGGCAGACGAGCAAGAAGTACAGTCCCCCGGAACGGTTTCTGCGATTGCGACTTCCTGAATCATTCAAAACGCCCGAGAAAGCGACGTTGCTAAGTACGGCAGAGGCGCGTCTTTCTTCGCGCGCCTAAGAGCACATTTCGCACGTCCACTGCCACTGCGAGATCTAAGTCTGGGAGAAAAATACAACTTGCAGAAGCGGTTTCTCGAATAATTCTAAAATCGTGGCCGTTGATGTGCGATTTGACCTCGAATGAGCAGACCAGAGCTGGTTGGACGAACGTTCTCATTGCTGACAACTACGCAGCAACCGGCTTCCTGCAATCTTTGACTTTGCGTTGGTAAAGGGTAGTGAGGCACTGGCACTTCAATCGAAATATGAGTAAGATAAGCGTTCAACGGCAAAAAAGCATGGACTTGGTGAATGATAGACTCTGTTGAGCCGATGGCAGTTTCCATGACATCGCAATTCTTGTATGATGGTTTTCCTTTAACAGGATAGAGAACAAGACGAAGCTACAGAAAAATTGATTTGAACGCAAGTTGTGCACGTGGATAATTCTGATGCGAAGGAGAAAACTGAAATGAAACGAACTGTCGAAATGGCTTCGTCTTTGCTCGATTTCCCACCTTGATTCCGTGGCCAATATTGCGGCGGCTAGTAAACTAGAATGTGTCGCCTGCCCCCCACTTCCGGACCGCAGGGCCCGGAGATTCCTCCCCGACTTCGCAGTGGATCGACCGTCAGGGGAAAGGCGTGTGCCTGCTCGATCTGTTGTTCTGGATCTTTTTCGAAAGTGTCATCAGTCCATCCATTTCTACTTTGGATTTCTGTCGCAGATTCATTTTCTTTCATGAAGAAGACCGGATGACAAAAAAGATAAAGAGCGCCCTGGGTGTCTCTTGTGGTTCTGAAACTAAGGCAGGCTCCTGTGTCCGAAGTTGCTTGAGGCGAAGACGCAAAGGCTCTTGATGCGGTGCAGTCGTTTACGCATGACAATAAGCTGATAAATTATGAAAACGTGACCTATTGAGGCTTCGGGAAAACCTAGAAAACATCATGACATTTAGGGCATTTATATATCACTTTTAGTCGTGGTTGAGTGATCTTGTTTGACTACCACGAGATCTACTTTCACGCGTTCTGGCAGGAGTGAGAAAAGGGCGCCATGGAGAATGATCATGAACTGTCCCGGAAAAGGGCTCCATGGAGATGAAATTTGCATTCATGCTAAGCCTTTCGAGCATAATCAGACATGATTGATCCACACTCGTTCCCTTGTTTCATTTTTGACTCCTAAGGAAAGAAAATGGAAAATCTTTTCACCAGCTACTTTTTTGTGGGTCGTCGGCTTTAAGATAGTACTTACTCGTATTTGTAATCCATTGTTGCCTAGTGCCACGGCTGCAGCTCTTGTCAACATTGATTTGAACGGTATTGCCTCAAAAGGCGGTGTATCTTCTGGCTCCTGAATAGAACGCACATGCAAAAATGGCAGCATCTTTCCGCCCCAGCGTGCCACTTCATCAGCTCAGCCCGGGATTGGCTGCGTGCTGGCGCTGGCCGCAGAAACGGCGCTACTCCATCTGTACAGGATTACTATTCCTCTACCATCAGCTCGCGACCATATCGCAAGTGATTGCTCTGTCATCTTCGTCCAGCGCCTCGAACTACTACATTAGCGAAAGCAACGTTGAGCAAGTGCCGCGGCTGCAAGCGCCTGGGGGTGCGATTCCTCCGCTGCGGCTGCGTCGCATCATCCGTACACAGCAGCCCAAGATGCGCCCAAGAAGGGTTCCGCTTCCGGATTCAATACTGAGCGGTGACCTGCAAGCTGAGCATGAATCGGGACCCGATCGTGTCGAGCAAGTCCGTACTGCTTATCAAAATTGCTCTTCGGGATCGGTATCTTGTGTATCTTCAATTGCAATACGGGCTCCGGCAGACGTCGCAGCCCCATGTCACCCAGTAGCGGAAAACCCTTCTGTGGTTCCAAATACCACGACAGTAATCTCGTCGACATCCGCTAGTGGCTCAACAACTCTTATTTCCTCAGGGGCTACTCGTCGCGCTTCGCGGTCGCGGTCTCGCAGTAGGCTCTCACGTCAAGAAGCTGTTGTCCGAGTTGGAGCAAACCGTCAGCAGTCATCTGGCTCTACTGCAGCACCGTCGGCAACACGCCTGCAATCAAACGCTCAATCCCTGCAATCATCAGCGCCGCAGCCAACGTCTACGTCTTCTGTGCAGGGTCCACAAGAGCCTTCACATGGCGCCGAGGATGCGCCAGCACATTGGGGCCACGGGAGAGACCTCGGACCGGTTCACAATGGAACTTTTCCTGCCGGTCCTGCAGTTGTGGCACCTGTGCCCGCCGGACAAGAGGCAACCTCGGTTGCGAGCATTTCCAATATGGGTGTGACGAACAGCTCGGCACTACCAACTGCGCCATCCAATTTCACTCCTAGCGGTCGTCAAAATTGTCCTCCCACACCAACTCCCGCGACGTCGCCTGAAGTTGCAGTGATTGTTACGCTACAAACAGGACAGACGCCTGCCTGTGCCCCCGGGGCTCCCGCTGCAAAAGGTACGCCAGCGGCACCTGCTCCGACAGCGCCTGCTCCGACAGCGCCTGCTCCTGTAGTGCCTGCTCCTGTAGCGCCTGCTCCGGCAGCGCCTGCTCCGGCAGCGCCTGCTCCGACAGCGCCTGCTCCTGCAGCGCCTGCTTCTGCAGTGCCTGCTCCTGCATCGCCTGCTCCTGTAGCGCCTGCTCCGGCAGCGCCTGCTCCGGCAGCGCCTGCTTCTGCAGTGCCTGCTCCTGCATCGCCTGCTCCTGTAGCGCCTGCTCCGGCAGCGCCTGCTTCGGCAGCGCCTGCTCCTGCAGCGCCTGCTCCTGCAGCACCTGCTCCTGCGTCGCCTGCTCCTGCGTCGCCTGCCCCTGCGTCGCCTGCTCCTGCGTCGCCTGCTCCTGCATCGCCTACGCTATCCCTAGGCTCGGAATCAGCGTGGAACCAGGGTGATAGTCGGCATCGCCCCGCCTTCCTCGCTGCGCAAGTAACATCTCCTGCAGTGCCAGCTTTGCCGCCGCCGCGACCGCCATCTCCTCCGCGAGCACGAAGTCCTTCACCCTGGAGTTCTCCCCCTCCCAGTCCTGATGATTATGGGAGCACGCCTGGCGGAGGTCCTTATGCCGGTCTGTAGCACGCCGGGCGTAGGAGGATGTTAGGTATCGTTGCATGTGTACGCACAGCCGCGAATTAGTATGTACTTACAAATACGAGATTCACGTCGGTGAGAGAGATACTGAAGCATTTTGGTTTCGCCTCGTCCAGTATGTTCTCCACAAACACATCCATGTCATTTGCTTGCTGGAAGGAGGCCGGTTGTATGATTTCTTTTCCTAGTACTAAAACGGCGCACCTTGTTCATAGTTCACGGACATCACAACTCGAGTTTCTCTTTGAAAATATCTCCTGGAAAATTTTATCATCTTTTTTTCTTGAATAGCTTCTTGTAGTGTAGTCAGCCGGAGCATCCGAGGAAAAAAATATACAAAGAAGCAGGCGTGAGGCTTCAGGGGAAATGAACGAACTGTGGACGATTCGCCTTATATATAGTTACCTTACCGGCTTGCGTACACAGGTATTTAATTATGTTTCGATTTTCTCACCAGATTTCCACGCGCCCTTGAATATCCGACGGAGCACATCTTCTTTTTCTGTTTCTTCGGAGCATATCTTCTGTTTTCTTCGCTTCAGAGTTGGGGACATCATGATCAGCATGGATAATCTGACTTTTACATTACGCACACGCATCCATACACGCTTACCAGTTGTGCTTGAATGCTTGCTCTTCAATTGCAACTGCCATGTAGCAGCTGTTGTTTGTTGTGACATAATTTTTGGGTATATGAAAAGACAAAAAGCTCAAAGCTCATTTAATTTTATGGAATCATTTTCAGAGTACTCCGAAGACGGTTTGAAAGATTTATCACCTTCCCCGCTTTATGTTGATTTTTTTAAAAGTATTTTGTCCGGTTTTTCATGTTACCGTGAGGGTCGCCGCGAAATTAAGCATAAATTTCGATTGCCGACGCGCTGCTCGCTTTTACATTTTTCGAGGACTGGAGTCACACGAAACCTGGTGTTGGTCAGATTGATCGTAAATGCAAAGGTGGATAATCATTTATTTTTATTCTCGGAGCTAGATAGGCTTAAGTACTCAATAGCTCTAGATTTCATTTTATACGCATTTTGGTCGTAAGTCGTAGCAGCAGCAGGGATTCTCAACTAAGAATTTGGTTGCGAGGCAATCAAAATTTTTTGAATAGCTCTGTCTAGGCTCAGGCGCACATCATTTTTGTGGATCATCTTGTTTCGTTGGCATGTGCGGAATGAGCACTTTGATATTGGGCGCGCTTGTTCATTTTTCATGAACTGTAAGAACGGTCTCGGTCTCCGGTGATGTACACGATGAATCGCTTTCGACAGAACCCCGAAGAAGACCTCAAACGAACCGCTAGTACAGAAGGCGTTGACCGGATCCGCGATGATTATCGAGAGCTTTATATATTGTCTGCTAGACCTTTCGCTTTCTGTTTCTATTGATGATCATGATTGTGAAGCTTTGGCTCTTCGGATTGATTCGGTCCCCAGGGCTCCTTGTGTTTACGATCTACTACGACGGTTAGCTCAACCTCATCGCCTAAGGGGTACATTCAGTGGAGGGACCAAAAACATCGGTATTGACATAAAGACTCAGCGGAGGTCGTGCCAGGTGTGGTCTTTGCCTCTTCCTGTGAGATCGGCGCAGTCGCCCATCCGTTTTCGATGGTTTTCAAGAACAGAAGCGATGCCGAAAGTCCGTATCGCACATTAAATAATTTCACCGCGAGAATGTCCAGACCTGAGTATAAGAGCAGTTCTGCAACTTGTAAGTCTGGGGAATAGGCACTCTCCGGATGCTCGTCCGGTGTTACCGCGCAAGGAGATCCAAAAACGCGATCACGAGGAATATAGCAGTCCTTATTTCTCTGAAACAACTGAAGCATGAGAAACAAAAAAAGCTCAGTCACAATTTTCCTTTCCGATGACTCCGAGCAAGGTTTGCTCGAGTTATACGGGTGGGCACTTGCATTCAACAAGCAAGTGTGTAAGTACGCGAACAGGGTGGAAAAAGAATAGCTTAGCATTTTGCCATGTCTTATTCTATCTAATTCTTTGTTCAGCTACTACGAAACACTCCGCGCTTGAAACTACACCGCGATGACAATGATAAGCTTTTCCGTCTAATAGCTATGTGGACCACATGTTAGAGGCTCTCGGCCGTGAACAGCTCGCGTCTTGAACCTTCGCAGTTGTTTTCATTTTTTCTGGAAAATCTAGAGTAATTTTAATATGGACTCGTCGCATAAAAAGAATTGCATCGAAGTGCCTCAGTTCTAACGTGGAAGATTGAAGTCGTATTGTTTCTCGCGCGCGTCTGTCGAAAGTCGCGCTTTTTTGTATCCTCGTGGTCCTCATCTCTATCTTTTCAAAGTGATAACTTCTTTGATTCTTGCAAGATCATGAACAATCCGCGCCACTAAATAAATCCGGTCGAAGCAGTAGAAAGAACACTGAAATATCAAGAATAAACCTGCCAAGAACAGGGTAAAATTAACCGATTATCGCGCTGCGGCACTCATTCATCAGAAGTGCAGCAGCGAAATACTTTTTTCGTATCCAGTATCACCAAAATCAAACACATCTGCAATACGAATTCAGCAAGTTGTATCAAACATTTTATTTGGACCAGGAAGACGCGTACAGAAACTAGGTGTTGGCCTGGGAAGACATCGCCAACATGTTGTTTGCGCGGCTTCTCTATCTTTTCCTGTTCCGAGCGGAGCTGCGGTGCTGGGGTAAAGTGACTGGTGAAGCAGCGCACCTGGAGAGCAGACTACAGGAACCGAAGCAACGCGATTCTGGCGACAGGCGGCTGCAATTTTCCCCATCGGCGTTTGATTGGGACGCTGCAGCTCACGCTTGTGTTCGAAACATCCCACGTCCAGTATCGTAAGCAAAAATCCCCCCTCCCCAAATCGAAAAGGCACACCTCAGAGAATTTGTGATGAATGCTGATTTGTGGCCACAAATCGCGTCCGTCTTGCAAGAAAGCAACGCCATAGGCTCCGCCCCATTTTTATGCAGGCGGTTTGTAATGCTTCTGGGCCTACAGCATATACGCTCCTTATGCTCGGCGCCTAGGCCGAAACCTCTCTGCATTGGCATGAAGTTGGCCTGCAGTCCTCTTCTACGAGACAAGTCTGATTTGTGGATGCCCGTCCAGCATCAGAAGTTTCGTTTTGATCTGGGGAGGGGGGATTTTTCATTTGGATATCCAGGTTTTTTGTCCGGTTTTGCGCCGGTTGTTGAATGCATCGTGCGAAAGCTTGAACACGACGTCGAAGGACCCAGTACGAGCCACGCGGCGTCGTTGCAGAAGCTTAAATTCATCGGGGAAAGCAGGGGCAACGCTGCACACGGCACCAGCGCAACGACGAAGTTCGGTGAGCAAGACGAGTATTTGTTGAGACGCAGTCGACAAGTAGAAGATGCCAAGCTCTTCAGCCTGCCCGAGAGCAGTCGCGACGCATTGCTGCCACCGAGAATGCTCGTGGTAAGTCTAATTGCGACGGCGCGCAATGATTTTCAAAATGGCGACATCGAACAGCTGCGTGCGAGCGGTGTCTTGATGACGGACCCTTTGGAACCGTCTCAGAACGACAAGACGCTACTACAACCATTTTCGTATCTGGCGGGGTGCGAAGGTCATTATCACGAGGAAATTGCAGAAGCGCGCTTTGCCCACAATCGCTTTCCTTCCGCATGTGTCATCACGAGGTTGAATCATGCCCACGACCGCAAGAAAGTTGTGCGTGACAATGACGGTGACAAAGCGCACGAGGATGTGTGGAGCTTTGAATATCGCGGTCCTGTCGAAGAAACGAGAAGAACGAAAATTAAATGCCTGCTGTCGAAACCTCTTGTCTCCATTTTGCGGGGGAAGAATCTTGACCCCGAGGTCTCATCGGGGGCCTCACCAAGCACACAACCGAAAGATGACGACCCCTCGGGCTACTATGTATGTGCTGGTCAAAATGCCATCGGCGGCTTCGCGAGGTTGATCGTCAAAATGCTATCATCAGACTTCCGAAACGGACAAAACGAAACACGCACGCAGGTCGCAACGCAAGAATATGGCCACAGCTGGTTCGCGAGCAAGCACCACACGCAAAACGCAGGAAGCTCAGCGTCTCCGGGACCTGGATCGCAACAGAGGCAGTTGCCACTGTGGGGGAAGTTGAAGCAAAGCGCTTTCTCGCTCCTTGGTTGGAATCACAGGAGAAGTATTGCATCTTCTACTGACTCGTCCGCTTACAACCCTCGCGGTGTATCCATCATAGTAGCAGCATTACGTTTACGGACACTGTATCAAGAAAAAATAGTAGCCCAGCAGTACTCCAGTGTGGGACGTGGAAACCTCGGAAAGAATGCGGAGCAGGATGATACTCTCTGTAGGCAGGGCAAGCCCCCTCCACAGCTTTTGTTGAAACACGAGGACCATAGTGTCCCCTTCACAGAAAATCCCAGCCCAACTTGCGCCACCGATCACAGCAGCACTACCAGCGAGAAAGCCGTGCGTTTCCCCAGTCCGCAAAGTTTCCACGCACTGCTACCCAGGACGATACCAACAAAGACACAACTTTCTGTCCTCCTAGAAGTGATGTTCAGGTCAACGCAGGACCAGTTGGCTAAAGAGTTCGAGGCTTCCTTCCGACCCATTGCATTAAGCACAAGAATGAAGGCCCGGACCTCACTCGGGGCTAGTGGTGCAGCTGCAAGACATGTAGTTTTCTGCTTGCGCGAGACTCTTGGCTTGCACATTGGCGTTTGGACTGGTGTAGCCCTCGGCAGTACAACTCGGGCCTTTCTAGCGACAACCTTGCAGGCGGCGGGCACAGAGCATGCGACGGCGGTCGATGATATGGAGGAAGCCAAACAGGCGGCCGGCCCCCTCCAAGGAGATTTCCGAGCTGTACACAAGGTAAAAGAAGTAAGTGCTTCATAAGCCAAACATAGCATTCGCGAGAAAAAATAAAGGAGGCAAACTCACCAGTTTAGTTTTTGTGTTTGTCGTGGTGCATGTGACAATAAAGCCTCATCAGAATACGAAAAATTGACAATAGATTCACCAGTTTAGTTTTNCCCGGTTTTGCGCCGGTTGTTGAATGCATCGTGCGAAAGCTTGAACACGACGTCGAAGGACCCAGTACGAGCCACGCGGCGTCGTTGCAGAAGCTTAAGTTCATCGGGGAAAGCAGGGGCAACGCTGCGCACGGCACCGGCGCAACGACGAAGTTCGGTGAGCAAGACGAGTATTTGTTGAGACGCAGTCGACAAGAAGATGCCAAGCTCTTCAGCCTGCCCGAGAGCAGTCGCGACGCATTGCTGCCACCGAGAATGCTTGTGGTAAGTCTAATTGCAACGGCGCGCAATGATTTTCAAAATGGCGACATCGAACAGCTGCGTGCGAGCGGTGTCTTGATGACGGACCCTTTGGAACCGTCTCAGAACGACAGTAGTACGCTACTACAAGAACCATTTTCGTATCTGGCGGGGTGCGAAGGTCATTATCACGAGGAAATTGCAGAAGCGCGCTTTGCCCACAATCGCTTTCCTTCCGCATGTGTCATCACGAGGTTGAATCAGGCCCACGACCGCAAGAAAGATGTACGTGACAATGACGGTGACAAAGCGCACGAGGATGTGTGGAGCTTTGAATATCGCGGTCCTGTAGAAGAAACGAGAAGAACGAAAATCAAATGCCTGCTGTCGAAACCTCTTGTCTCCATTTTGCGGGGGAAGAACCTTGACCCAGACGACTCATCGGGGGCCTCACCAAGCACACAACCGAAAGATGACGACCCCTCGGGCTACTATGTATGTGCTGGTCAAAATGCCATCGGCGGCTTCGCGAGGTTGATCGTCAAAATGCTATCATCAGACTTCCGAAACGGACAAAACGAAACACGCACGCAGGTTGCAACGCAAGAATATGGCCACAGCTGGTTCGCGAGCAAGCACCACACGCAAAACGCAGGAAGCTCAGCGTCTCCGGGACCTGGATCGCAACAGAGGCAGTTGCCACTGTGGGGGAAGTTGAAGCAAAGCAGTTTCTCGCTCCTTGGTTGGAATCACAGGAGAAGTATTGCATTTTCTACTGACTCGTCCGCTTACAACGCTCGCGGTGTATCCATCATAGCAGCAGCATTACGTTTACGGACACTGTATCAAGAAAAAATAGTAGCCCAGAAGTACTCCAGTGTGGGACGTGGAAACCTCGGAAAGAATGCGGAGCAGCATGATAC